TCCTTTCCCCTGATCACACATGCATATGTGTGTGTGTGTGGGTGTGTGTGTGTGTACACTGTCTCTCGTTCTCAAATAAATAAATCTTAAAAACAAACAAAAAGAACAGAATTACATGACGATAAAGGGATCAATCCGACAAAGGGTATATAGCAATTGTAAATAACTAGGTACCCAAAACTGGAGCACCGAAACACATAAAGCAAATACTGAGACATAAAGAAAGAAACTGATGGCAATGCAATCATAGTAGCAGAATATAACACCCCACTGACATCAACAGACAAAGCATCGAGACAAAAAATCAGTAAGGGTACAGTATCTTTGAATTACACATTAGAGCAATGGAGCTAGCATACATACAGAACATTCCATCCCAAAACATAATACACATTCTTTTCAAGTGCACATGGAACGTTTTTCAGGATAATTCAACATGTAAGGTCACAAAAAAGCCTCAATAAATTTAAGATTAAAATCTTATTATGCATCTTTTTGACTACAACAGTATGAACCCATAGATCAATTATAAGAAAAAAGGAGGGTGGGAGAATAGGGGAAAAAACCCACAAACACATGGAGCCTGAAAAACATGCTACTAAACAACTAACAGTTCAACAAGGAAACAAAAGAGAAAAACAAAAGCTACATGGAGACCATCAAAAATAAAAACACAAAGGTCCAAAATCTTTGGGACATAGCAAAAGAAGTTCTAAGAGCAAAATTTATAGTGCTAGAAGCCTGCCTCAAAAACCACGATAAATCTCAATCTACCCTTAATCTAAAGGAACTAGAAAAAGAAAAATGAAGTCCAAAGTTAGTAAAAAGAAATAATTAAAGCCATAAGAGCAATAAAAGAAATAGAGACTGCCTTCCCCCCAAAAAGGAAAGAAAGGTTAAAAAAAAAAATCCATAAAACTAGTGGTTTCAAAGAGCTGGTTCTTTGAAAAGACAAAGAGTTAATAAACCTTTAGCCAGACTCATCAAAAAAAAAAAAGGCAAGAGAGAGGGGGGCAGGGGAGAGAACCAAATAAAATAGAACAAACTAGGAGAAATGGATAAATTCCTAGACTTAAAACCTTCTGAACTGATCAGAAAGAAATAGAAACTGACCAATTACAGGTAACACATTTAAATCAGTAATCAAAACACTACCAAAAAAGGAAAATCTAAGACCAGAATTCACAAGTGATTTCTACAAAGTATTTTTTTTTTTTTATTAAGCATTTAAAGTAGAGTCAATACCTGGTCTCCTCAAATATTCCAAAAAATAGACGAGAAAGTAAAGCTTCCAAATACATTCTACAGGGCTGGCATTATCCTCATACCAAAGCTACACAGACACTACAAAAAAAAAAAAAAAAAAAAAAAAAGAGAAAGAAAACAAACTATAGACCAAATCCCCAATAAATACAGATGTAGAAGTCTTGAATAAAGTATCAGTAAAGCACATTTAACAATACCTTACAAGTTTTTCACCATAATCAAGTGGGACTTATTCCAGGGATGCAAGAAGGGTTCAATATTCACAAATCAACCAACGTGATATATCACATTAAAAAAATGAAGAATAAAAATCATACGATTATCTCAACAGATGCAGAAAAAGCATTTGACAAAATTCAACATCCATTCAACGATAAAAATTCTCAACAAAGTGGATTTATAGGGAATATACCTCAATATAATAAAGGTCATATAATATAAAGCCACACTAACATTATACTCAAATGGTGAAAAACTGAGAGATTTTCCTCTATTTCCAGAAAAGGAAGGGTGCCTGGGTGGCTCAGTGGGTTAAGCGCCTGCCTTTGGCTCAGGTCATGATCTTGGGGTCCTGGGATGATCAGGATCCCTGCTCAGTGAGGAGTCTGCTTGTCCCTCTCCTTTTGCCCCTCCCCTTGCTCTCGCACTCTTCTGTCTCAAATAAATAACATCTTTAAAAAAAGAAAAGGCAAGGAAGGATGTCCACTCTCACCACTTTCATTCAACGTAGTACTAAAAGTCCTAGACACAGCAATCAGACAATTTAAAAAGAAAAAAAAAAAGGATAAAAAGGCACTCAAATTGGTAAAGAATATGTATAACTGTCACTATTTGCAGGTGACAAGATACCACTAGAAAACCCTAAGACTCAACCAAAACACTATTAGAAGTGACAAGTGAACTCAGGAAAGCTGCATAATACAAAATCAATATATAGAAATCTGTTGCATTTCTGTATGCTAATAATAATGTAGCAGAAAGAGAAATTAAGAAAACAGTCCCATTTACAGCTACACCAACAATAAAATACTCAGGAATAAATTTAACCATAAAGGGAAAGACTTATATACTGAATATTAGAGAACACTTAAAAGAAATCAAAGAAAACACAAATAAATGGAAAGATATGTTCTGCTCAAAAACTGGAAGAGTATTATCCAAATGTTCATAATATCCAAAGCAACCTACAGATGCAATGCAATTTCTACTAAAATCCCATCAGTATTTTTCACAGAACCAAAACAAATAATTCCAAAATTATGGAACCACAAAAGACCCTGAATAGCCAAACCAATCTTCAGAAAGAAGGACAAAGCTGGACAATCCCAGATTTCAAGATATACAACTGAAGTAATCAAAACAGTATGCTACTGTCACACAAACAGACACAAATTAATAGAACAGACAAGAGACCCCAGAAATAAAACCACACTTACTCATTCGATTAATCTATGACAACGGAGGCAAGCATATACAATGGGGAAAAGACAGTATCTTCAATAAATGGTGTTCAAAACACTGGGTAGCTACATGCAAACGAATGAAACTGGACCACTTTCTTACACAATACACAAACTCAAAATGGACTAACGACCTAAATGTGAGACATGATACCACACAACTCCCAAAAGAAAACAGAGACATCAATCTCTTAGACACTACCCTTGGCAACGTATCTAAGGATAGGTCTTCTCAGGCAAGGAAAACAAATGCTAAAATAAACTACTGGGACTACCTCAAAATAAAATGTTTTTGCACAGCAAAGGAAACCATCAATAAAACAAAATGGCAACCAAGTAAATGATAGAATATATGTGCCAATTATATATTTCATAAGGGATGAATATCCAAAATTCATAAAGAACTTACACAAGTTAACACCCAAAAAATCCAATAAAAAATAGAATGCCTGAAAACACATTTTTCCAAAGATGGAGATGGCAAAAAGACACATGAAAAGATGTTCAATATTACTAATCATCAGGGAAATGCAAATCAAAACCACAAAAAAACAAAATCACCTCACACCAGTTCAAACGGCTAGTATCAAAAACAAAGAAGTAACAAGTGTTGACAAGAATGTGAAGAAAAAAGAGCCTTCACACTCCGCAGTGGAAATGTAAACTGGTATAGTTACTATGAAAAATAGTATGGAGATTCCTCAAAAAATTAAAAATAGAAATATCATATAATCTAGCAATTACACTTCTGGGTATTTACCCAAAGAAAATGAGAATACTAATTCAAAAAGATGTAATATACATTCATTGCAGTGTTATTTAAAATAGCTAAAATATGGAACGAATCCAGTGTCCTCAACTGACAAATGGATAAATTAAGAGTCGTGTGTGTGTGTGTGTGTGTGTGTGTGTGTGTGTGATGGAATATTACTCAGCCATGAAAAAGAATGAGATCTTGCTCTTTGAAACAAGATGGATGGACCTAAGAAGTACAAGGGTAAATAAAATTAGCTGAGAGAAAGACAAACGGGCACCTGGGTGACTCAGTTGGTAAAGCATCTGCTTTCAGCTCAGGTCATGATCTCATGATCTTGGGACCAAGCCCCACATTTGGCTCCCTGCTCAACAGGGAGTCTGCTTCTTCATTTCCTTCTGCCCCTCCCCCCAGCTTATATGCCCACACATGCACATTCTCTCTCTCTCTCTCTCTCTCAAATAAATAAATAAAATCGTCAAACAAACGAACAAAAAACTCTTAAATACAGAGAATAAACTGGTAGTTGCTAGATGGGAGGCAGGTAGAGAGAATGGTAAAATAAGTAAAGGGGATTAGGAGGTACAAACTTCCAGTTATAAAATAAGTAAGTCACACAGATGAAATGTACAGTTTTGGAATGAAGTCATTAATATTATAACCATGTTGTATGGTGACAGATAGTGACTACACTTACCATGCTAAGCCCTGATTAATGGACAGAATTGGGTAATATGTTGTACTCTAAAACTAATATAACATATTAATTGTACTTCATTAAAAAAATAAAAAATCTTTGCAAACTAAAATATTTGTTGAAAATAATGCATCTATGTTCATTTGAATAGAGGGATTTGGAGTGATTTATATTTTCTACTTTGTGATTTCTTAGGCTCCTTTAATTCTGTCAAAAAACATCATGCCTTGGACCCCTTTTGCATTGCAGGTGGGAATGTAAAATGGAACAGTGAGTATAGAAAATAATACGGCAGTTCCTGAAAAATTAAAAACAAAAATACCATGGGATTCAGCAATTCTACTTCTAGGTATATACCCAAAAGAACGGAAAACAGAATCAAACACATTTGTACTCCAATGCTCATAGCAGCATTATTCACAATTGCCAAAGATGAAACAACCCACATGTCCACTGACAGACAAACTGTAAACAAAAGGTGATACATACATACACTGTAATATTATTCAGCCTTAAAAAGAAAAATGTTACAAATGGATGAAGCTAAAAGATATTATGCTGAGGGAAATAAGCCAGACACAAAAGGACAAATACTGTGTGAGGCAACTTACATGAGGTAGTCAAATCAGTGGAGTAGTCAAATTCATACAAACAAACGTTTTTATGATTTATGTTTCTTTATTTTTGTTAAGACTTTCCTGTTAGAGTACAGGTTCACAGCAAAACTGAGAGGAAAGTACAGAGAAAAACAATTTTTTTCAAAGAATATGCACTTAAAAACAAAACCAAATGTACTATATAAAATGTAATCATGTCCACTAACCTGAAATGGATGCCATTCTAAAACTCAATTGGAGATCCAAATGTCTTTCTAAAAATGAAAGAAAAATCATAGAAAAAATTTTAAACCATACTATATTGATAATGCCTAACCAACAATAATTTTTCACTACTAAGCATGAAAAATACTACAAAGTAAATTATATATTGTAGTGACTTTTATGCTTTTCTTTTTTTAATGCAGGCTCCACATCCAGTGGGAGCCCAAGTTCAAGGGGGCTTGAACTTCAGACCCTCAGACCCTCAGATCAAGACTTGAGCTGAGATCAAGTCACATGCTCAACCAACTGGGCTACCCAGGCACCCCTACTGTAGTGACTTTTAAAAGAAGGTTTACATGATTATTCCCACACTGATTTTTATGACGAATTCTCTAGATTTCAGAGAAGTGTCCAAAAATCACATTAACAAGTGATAACATCAGTAACACTTAAATACCACATAGAAAGTGATTAGCAAAAAAAAAGCAAAGAGGCTAAACAGTGTTAGCACTAAATTACCATATGATCTTAGAAAAGTTATACAATCTGTTCCTCTTAGCCTCTTTCCTTACCTGTAAAATTGGGATGATAAAACCTATCTTACAAATAAGAGATTCAAATCTCCCACATTAGGCAAAATCCATCCACATAATTACTCCAATTAATCATTCAACATTTTATTGAATACTTGCTTAAAGAGTTACAATTTCGGTTAATCTTAAAAGAGGAACTGGTATTTTATAGAGGGATTAGATTTCAGGAGAGAACATGAAAAGGTCAGACATAGGGAAAACACAGGATATGCAATTAAGAAACTCTAAATACCTCTAAATGGCTAAAATTTAAGAGCACACATGAGCAAATGGGAGGAGAGGAGGCTTGAGGGTAGGAACTTCTTACTATATAAGTTGCTTTATAACAATATACCTCTGAGTTTCCATGTTTTGGTTTGAATGCTCCTAGTTTGCAAACTGTCTTTTTGGTGAGTGCACAATAAACTTTTACTGATTACTACTTCAATGATTCATTGGTTTTACTTCTGTTATTTCCAAACATTTGACAATTTATGGTGTAAAAATGGGATTCAAACAAGACACCCCCTTCCATCGTCCCCCTCAATTCTGAGGCTATGGTGATGGAACCCATAGAGTCCACTGAGTTCACTGCTTTCTCAGTGACCCTAGAGTCTGGAGGTCTCTCCTATATCTGAGCTCTGTTCTTTCCATTTTGAGCTGACTTTAACTTGCATACCTACATTTTGTTTGTTGAAATTTCTTGGTAAATCATCCTATTCTGTTCCAAAGGGAGGAGGGAAGGGAAGCACATAGTTGGTTCCCTGTGTTTTGGAACAGCTTTTAGAAAACAGGGTCCCTCATAGTTAAGAACTCTTAGGGAATCTATAAAGACAAAGATGGGTTCCACCTAGTCTATGGACCAGGATTTTGTGCCTTTTTGGAAAATGGGTGAACTTGTGGAATTGTAGTGGCCACCATAAGGCAACTTTAACTTAGAGAAGTGGATCTTGTGCTGTGTCTTTGACAAGAAAGGATTTCAAATCTCTCAGTGACAACAGAATGCATTCTTTGATTGATAAGCAGACAAAATGACTGCAAAAATAGCTTTAAAAGATCCTTATAGGAGTGCATGGGTGGCCCAGTCAGCTAAGCATCAGCCTTCAGCTCAGGTTCTAGCCCCACATTAGGCTCTCTGATCAGCAGGGAGCCCACTTCTCCCTCTCCCTCTGCTGCTCCCCCGTTTGTGCCAGCAAATAAATAAAATACTTTAAAAAATTAAAAATTTAAAAAAAAAAATCCTTACATCATTTAAACAAAAGAAACTTCACTGGAAAAAAATCCACTCTGCTATACAAGCAATAACCTCAACTTAGTCCCTCTGCCAGAAATACAATTGGGATCCAACTGTTCTTTTATGAACTAGAGAGTTTTGCATTATGATGGCTATCAGCTCATGACTAAATTTCTCTAAACAAAAGCTATAAGATCCATTTGCATCTATCTGTATGTTTCTGTATGTCTATGTATACACATTATAGATGTGTGATATTTTTCTAAGTCCAGATGGTATCGCCAAAACTAATGTGTAAGGAGCTCTATATAACTGTCTTAAAGGAAAATAAGCACTCATAAAGTATTCTTGAAACCCTCAGAAACAAAAACTAACCCAAACGTTTTTCAAGTTCACAGGACTTGACATAACCTGTGGAAAGTAAAATTTAGTTTAAGTTTGTTGGCTTAATAAAAGCAAGCATGTCTTCAAAATCTGTCAATATAAAAAATAATTTAGGATGATGGTTATCTGCTTAATATCTAATCCAAGCATAATTGTTAAAAAAAATAATTTAAATAAATGTAAATAAGAAAAGTTTGTACCAAGTTAAATAATGAATATTCCTTGACTATCTAAATCACTTCCAAATGAGATAATATACTAAATCGTAAAATACCAAACATAAGTTTACCTACTTCGGGCTTTTTTTTTTTCTATGCAGTATTGTAGTACTACTAATATTTAAAGAACTAACTTTAAACTTATACTGAAATAAACTATACATTACTACCAAAAATGGAAAAAAAAAACAACCTATCACTTGCTAGGAGTAAAACATAACCACACCTATAACTATAATAAATATAAACCAATGATATTTTTGCCTGCTGGAGTTTGGAGATTACGGTAATGCTCTTTTTGTTAAAATGAATCATTAGCAGGTATAAGAGAATTACTAAAGACAACTAATAATTTTTCCCTAAAACTAGTAAGGATTAAAAAAAAGTTAAAAAGGAAGTAATTATTGCTATGTGATCCAATATACTTTTTATCATGTCTGGGTGCCAACTAAAATTGACCTCAGTAAATCAGTGTTTTGGAAATGCCATTTAAACCCATTTAAGTTTGCTCTCTGAATTGGTTCCTGTCATGATTATCTATCAGCACTACCACCCTGACGCAAATCTACCTTAGAATGAATGGTTTTTATTAAGCACCTCCCTTGTGCTAGTATGCAAGGTTCTTATTTATGTTTAATTTCTACTTTCATTTGCATCATCTGCTACAAGGTAACCTAAATCTAGTTCTTCATCTTCTAGCAAAATAAATTCTGAATAAATTCAAGCTATGGCAACTACCCCTTCATTTATAAGAAATCACTATATTCTACTGGCACCTGCCAACACTTTTACCCTACCCTGGCTTGCTCATACAGTCTTGAAAGAGTCACTCGTGCTTTAGTAGCCTACGATTCATCAGAACACGCCAACTTTTGATTTTTTAATATTTGCAGAGAGAAAAAAGATACTTGGGTCTATTAATAACCATGTCCTTTGCCACATTAAAAACTATACTATTAAAAAAATGTATGTCTCTAAAAAGTTTTTATAACTGTGTATTTATAAATTTGCCAGTCCACAATTGCCTACTTCTTGGTTTTTACTAGCAACTAAAGATTTTAAGAGTTAAGAATTCTAAATAATATATGTAATTAAAGCTCCTAGAAATAATAAGGATGAAAGAAAACAATAGTATATGGAAAGCAGTTGAAGAAAATATAACGTGTTTTTTGGACAAAGAAATACATGAAAAACATGGGTTTTGCTGTTGTTTTGGTAAGGGAAAAAGGAAAGTAATTTTGTCTGAAAGTAAAATGGTAATTCCAGAATGAGAAAGGGAAAAAAATGAAATAAAAACTGGATGGATATAAAAAATTGTAGAGGGTGCCTAGGTGGCTCAGTCAGTTAAGTATCTGCCTTTGACTCAGGTCCTGATCCCAGAGTCCTGGCATCTAGTCACATGTCTTTAGGCTCCCTGCTCAGTGGGGAGTATTTTTCTCCTCCCTCTGCCCCTCCCTCCTGCTCTGCATGCTCTTGCTCTCTCTCTCTCTCTCTCTCAAATAAATAAAATCTTTTTTTTTTAAGATTTTATTTACTTATTTGAGAGAGAGTGAGAGAATGAGAGAAAGCATGAGAGGGGAGAAGGTCAGAGGGAGAAGCAGACTCTCTGTGGGGCTAGGAGCCCGATGGGGGACTTAATCCAGGGACTCCAGGATCATGACCTGACCCGAAGGCAGTTGCCTAACCAAGTGAGCCACCCAGGCGCCCCAAACAAAATCTTTTTTAAAAAAAAGTTGTAGAAGTTTTATGGAAAAGGAATTGAAAAAGGAATTTTATGTGTGGTCTAGCTAAGATTCAAATGGACTTAAGTTTTTGCAAAACTGTTCCCACAAAAGTGCTTTATCTCCAGAGACTCATGGAAAAGACTCTGACAAGTAGAGGTTTCTGTTAATTTTACTATCATGACACTGAACTGAGTAAGAATTTCTAAAAGTCTAGTGGAAAACTGATTCATAAAATTATTAATCCAAGATGAAGCAAAACAAGAATTACAGGAGACTCAGTGAACTAATGAAGATGATTATAATTTTTTATGACTTCATTTAAAACAATGATGGTTCTTCAGTGTTTTGTTTTCCAGATTTCAGTCTTTCTTTTCTCTTTTAGGCTATCGATAGCTCATAATGATGATTCAGTAAAACCTACTTCTGTCATCAACAGTTGAAACATTTATCTTTTTCTCCCTACCTGATACCGCCAGAATTTAGAAACTCTTATTAAATATTCTTATTTTTCATGACAACACATATATTTACATAAACTCAATCTGATTTCCTTGTAATAGGACAATATTAGACAAGTTCTTAGCTTGGCTGCTTTAGCCCAAAAAGCCTTGAAAAATTCAATCTAATTTTTTTTTTCTTTTGAAGATTCTTTATGGAAAGTTCCAGCAAAGTAGATTTAAAAGAGCTTATATCATCACCATTTCTGCTACACTTAATATAAATAATCAGGCCAAATTTATTGAAACTAGACTCAGTTTAAAAACAAATTAGTCTAACTGTAGTTATCTTGATAGAAATGGGATGATTATAGAGAAAAACTGTGTTTCAATAATACACTTCTGTGGCTATCAGATTCTACTGCTGGTAACTGCCCTTCAGGTTTTATTTTCTACTTATAAACTGGGCTGGATCCTAAATTCTAGTTTCCTCCAAAATCTGGCTAGAACTCTACAAACTAACATTTCCAATTTCCTCCCACTCTTCTGACTTGGAATCACTATAAAAATAAAATGGCCCTTTTCCCAAAGCCATGCAAACTAAAGCTGGACAACTGGATATAAACTTCAGAGAAAGGACCCAAAAAAGTGCATGTGAGGAGGACAATGTGCCTATGCTATCTGGTCACTCAGTGTAATCACCTCTGGGGAATCTCCTCTGGGAATTTCTCCTTAAATCATATTTACCTCTCTAATGTGCTGCATACTCTCAAGGGTTTTAAAGACGGGTCAGCAGCCATTCCCATGCCAAACGGTATCCATCAGATCAGACAACTGGATGAAATCAACAATAACCCCATAAATGATGAAGATGGTGACATGATGCCTGAGCCTAATGACTCAACTAATGGCAACAGCAAAAATGTGACTCTTCAGCCTGAATACATCAACAGAGGAACCTGAAAATTACACTATACTGGTTGATCAGAATAACCAAAAAGGGGGAGTTGTTAAAATAAAAAGCAAACCAGTCTTGAAAATTCCCTGAGCAGACAAAACCAGTTTGGTCATACAAAGCTCAGTTGAGCTTATTTTCTAAGACTAACTTCAGCTAGACAATTACTTGTTTATACCGGTGGAAAATACAAGCAAAAACCGTTTCCCAAGGTTGATATGAGTAACCACTAACCAATTCCCTGTCACCTCGGGAAATGTTCTTATTCTAATCACCGCGGAGACTGCTTACTCTCTAAGCTGCTTTGCAACAACATACCCCTGATCCTCATTCCCGTTTTGGCTTGAGCGCTCCCGGTTCCCCAGCTGTTCTGTGGTGGGTGCACAACAGACGTTTACTAATGACTACTTCAGGGACCCACTGGTGTTCCGTTTGCTACTTCCGAACTCCCGACAGCACCAGAGTAAATACTTCACGGAGTCAGAGCCCGTCATTGGGCCTGGAGCAAACACCGCTGAGGAACCACGGGCTAGAGCAGACCCCTCGCCCCCCTCTCCCCAGCACCAGCCTTTAAATAAAAAACAACACCTCCCCTACGCTCGTGCGTCCCCCGGTGGTGCTGCCCATATACAGACTCCGGTAACCTAGCTTCCTGCGTGGACAAGGCTAGAGATGGGGGCGGCGGGGGAGGCAGTCCGACGAGCCCCTCAAGGACCAAGTTCCATCGGAGACCGGCCAAGTCCTCGCCCGTCTCTCTCCTACCGACCTATCAGAGAACGGAAGTGACCCGCGACACACCGGCCTCACCCTCAGGGAGAGAAAGGCAAAATGAGCCCTCTCCGAGCAGATTTACCCCGAACTTTTCCCCAGGGTTTAAAGGACCCCTTCACCCCACCCAGCCCAGCCGCCTCGCTCTCCGACTTCAAAGTGCCGGCCCTCCGCACCACTACTTACCGATTTCAGCCGCTCTCGCATGAAAACTTCCCGCCACCAGCCTTTCCTTTTCCTCCAGCTGAGAGCACCCGCCCTTCCGGTTAGGTTTCCTCAACCAATAACAAGTGACACCCTTCTCTAATTGGTGAAGAAGGGCAACCACTATGTGCGTCATCGAACAAGACTACAGATGATTGGTTCATATTGGGGGCGGGATTAGCCAATGGGAAGCGGTCTTGGAGCTGGGGTGGGGGAGGCTGCGTGTTTCCGGAAGACGTGGCGGCTCTCCCCTGGGCTGTTTCCCGGCTTCTCTTCTCCCGACTTTGCTTCACGCCTTGGGCATCCGGAGGTCCGGTAGTCGCTGCCCTCATTGCCGCAGCCATGATCTCCTTAACCGACACCCAGAGTAAGGACTTGCCCCGGATCCTCTTACACCCGTTCCTTGAGCTCGTCTCCACCCGCCCCTCTCTCCGGGTCAATGAATGAAGCTCGGCGTTGGGGGCGGCGGCCTGCGGGACTGAGCAAGGGATGCGGGACCAGGAGGACTGCCTTGAGGGGACGGGAGCTAGATTTGCAGTGGCCGACGTGGGAGGAGGGTCAGTGGGATCTGGGGAGGGGGAAGTCTTTGCTGAGCCTAAGGGCACAAGGGTCCCGCTGTTCTCACTCACAGTGAGATGGGGGCTTTGTTCCTGCAGGTGGTCACAAGAGAAAGTTTGATGCGCGGTGCCCGTGGTTCACACTTGGGAATATTTGTGTACATGACAGGCTGGGGGTCCTCTACTGGCCGGTTGTTCGGGAGGCGGTATTTTAAGGGTCACCTAGTATGGGTTTGGGTCTTTTAAATACATACAAATATATGTATATATTTAAATATTTCGAGTATTTCGCCTTTTGCCACCTCTGGAAACGGCCTTCCAAAGATTCCTTGAAACGACTTCACTCTTCTACCACCCAATATTTCCACAGTAGTGAAAAAGCCACCTTGTGTTCAGTGAAACGATTTATTTCCTTAATATTGTGTATTGTGCTTTGTAGCTTGTTTTATTATTTTAGCATCTCTTTCTGCCTACACAGAGTTCTCAAGGCCTAGCTTATGTCTAAGGTTAGCGTTGTTTCTGTTTCCGTTTCTTTCGTTATAACACTCTTATTTCTACCCTTTTGTCAACCTTGATCATTTTCGTATTTACATATCTGCCCAACCGTGTGGGTCCTATCTTTCAATGATCGTGATAGTCTTTTTGTCTCACATTGCTTTATCTGCTATGATCATCATTTCTTATTCTGCTTAACTTAGTTTGATTTTCAAGATTTTAAGAACTAAATAGTCTGTTAAAAATAGAATTTCAGGGGCGCCTGGGTGGCTCAGTGGGTTAAAGCCTCTGCCTTTGGCTCAGGTCATGATCCCAGGGTCCTGGGATCAAGCCCCGTATTGGGCTCTCTGCTCCCCGGGAGCCTGCTTCCTTCTGTTTCTCTGCCTGCCTCTCTGCCTACTTGTGATCTCTGTCTGTCAAGTAAATAAGTAAAATCTTTTATAACATAGATAGATAGATAGATAGATAGATAGATAGATAGAATTTCATTGTAAATGCCCTACTTTAAAGTGGAGTCTTAAGGTTTGGATGGAAGTCATGGCTGACTTGAACTTGACAGAACTTCTCAGGTCTCATATACACTACCAACCCAGTCAGGCTCTTCTCATTCCTGTGGTCGGATGGGTCTGCACTTTGGAGTGGCCAAATGCACTGGCCCAGGAACGGTACCCGTTTTGGTCTGTTGGCCTGTTCTGATCAGAAAACACATAAAGTCTCTTTCTTTCTTTCTCTTACTGTTATAATAGGAACTAGCAATTGTATGAAGGCATCTTTTTTCATTTTACCAAGTGCTTTCAATATAAACCATTACTTTTTTATAAGAGCCCTATAAGGCAGGGAGAAGTATAGCTCTTTTATAAATTAAAAGAGGCTCAAAAGAAATTCATTGTATGATCATAAGGAAAATGACAGAAAGAAAACTTGATCCCAGGTCTGCTGGCTCAGAAACCTCTGTGTCTACTGTACCCTACTAGCGTCTAAGAAAACTGGGTATAAACTTTATTTGAGATCTGTCTTAGAATACTGTGGGTCTTTCACAGCAAAAATAGATACAACATTAGGTATTTATCTATAAAATTATGCATTGATTTTTTTGATAGATTGTGTAGGATTATTCAGAGTCTGTTGTCTTTGTGATAGCATCCTATTTCTCTTGATTAAAACCCAAATTTAAAATTAGGTTGTCCAAGAAAATTAAAATTGTATACATAAATTGCTAAAACTTATTTCTAATTCTATTAACTAGAGAAAGTACTTAATCTTTACACAGCTTATCTATCTGTGAAGTATTATTACTTCTCCTGTCTGAGTCTGATTATTACATAGATTAAAAATATGAACTATGTATCCTTTGCATAGAGATTTTCTTCTATTGAAGACTTCTTATAGGGACAAGTGCCTGATTTACATTCTTCCAAAATCCAGAACAAAGGGATTGGATTGGAATGTGGGCAGAATAGTGAGCATCCTCCTTCATTAACTTGATGAAGAAGATGAAATTATATTTTTTGTTGCTCATTTGCCAAATGTTTTGGTAGGACCGTGGATTAGAACACAAAATGGTTAGTGAACCAAAAGCTCTTTGGATTTCAAATGGTGTTCATGTGTGTGTGTGTGTCTGTTTAACTGCAGAAATTGACCATCATTCAAGTGATTTACCAAGATTATTCTGGGATTCTGATTCTGAAAGAGCATGACCAAGCACTGAACAGAAAAAAAAAGCAATTCATAATTGTTTTAAGGGTTTCTGTAATAACACTCTCCCACCCCCCTCCATAAAAACACAAGATTTATTGAGGGGGACAGAGTAGGCTAGTTCCCATGCTTCCTCTAGATCTTTACTTCATTATGTCACGTTGCTTGAAATTCTACCATGATGTTCAGTTGAGTTGTTCAGCTTGGTTGATATTCAGTCCAGTTGTTTATTATGAAATTTTCTATTTTTTAAAACACATGGTAGGAAAGAAAAAGCTAATATTAAAATTTTCAACTAAGATATCAAAATGCTAACAGTCATTGCTATTGGATTAAGCATCTTTCCTTGTAAAATTTCCACAAAAACGTTTTTTTTTTTCATTTTAGATAAATTGTATTAAACTGCTTTTAGCAAATTGTTCTTTTAAGAAAAATGTTCTCATAAATAGACAAAAGGAATGCAGGTTTGATAATTGCACCAGAGAAAAATAAATTTATTTTACTGGGTATGATTCTGGTGGTGAGCAGGCAACTCTGTGTAGAGCTTTGCTTATGAATGCATAGACAGGGAAAATGGGAATTCGGGAGATGAGAAAGGGCACAGTGAGTCCAGTTAGAGACTTTTGGCCCCCTTAGGCCAGGAAATACTTGGCAACATCATGCCAGTGCGAGTTCTGGCAAATATGTTACAGGCAACTGTCTCCTCCTGGGCTTACACTGGATGAAATAAAACAAATGTTTTGGTGCCCATGTTACAGTTGTAAGCTGTGCAGTCCAAAAACTGAGCTTGAATTCTAGCCTGACTCCCCACAACCACCACTCTTCCTGCCCAGCAGCTGTGCAGTCCCCCACCATGCATACACCTACATATATTTGCTGATTTTATGAGCAAGGATAAGTTACAAATCTCTGAGTCTGTGAAATATGGGGCTGGTGCTACTTTTCACCTCACAGCTTTGTTAAAGGAATTGCAACATATTTGTATAAACATTTCAGTGAATGTGAAACCATATCCAGATACTGTTTTTTTCACTCCAGTCAATTTTTTTTTCCAGTCAATTTTTAATACTTCTACTAATACCTACTTAGTTGTTAGGTAACAACTAATCCTATTAAACTTGAATCACCTAAGGGTGCTTCCCCCAGATGTCCAGTATGCTCCAGTGCCCTTGAGTGCCCTGAAAAAAAAAAAAAAAATCCTGTAGGAATATGATGTAATAGTTCAGCATAGGGACTGAGTTCAAATCCTCAACCAGAAGTGTGACTCTGGGCAAAAAAAGTTGTTTCTCCAAATCTCAATTTTCTCCATTTCTAAAAGGATGTAATTTCACCCACCTTGCAGTAGTATGGGAAGGATTAAGTAATATAAGGTATGTAAAGTGCCCCATCATGGATAATTCATGGCAAATCCTCAGTACATAGCAGGTGTACTTCCATATAATTTCCTGTCTGATAACAAATATCTCAAAAATTTGGGGGTGCCTACGTGGTCCAGTCCCTTAAGCATCCAACTCTTGATTTCAGCTCACGTCATGATCTCAGGGTCATGAGATTGAGCCCTTCGTCAGGCTCCCCACTCAGCACAGAGCCTGTGTGAGATTCTTTGCCTCTCCCTCTGCCCCTCCTCCCATCCAAGCTATCTCCCTCCCTCTCTCTCTAAAATAAACTCTTAAAAAAAAAAAAAAAACCTCAAAATTTTTATGTAATCATTAGGATAATTTATGAAAAGTTAGAAATTAGTCCTATTTAAATCACTCAACTGCCAGTGACTAAATCCTAATACTAAATAGTTATACAATGGAATTTTACTTGTTCTTTTGTCCATATTTTCTTCCAGGAAATTATGACACCTCAACAGCTCAACAGTCATTTTGGTCAATTCTCTTAAGGGATTTAAGCATGAAAGCATTAGCCTCACATTTTCATAGGATTTTGTCTGTTGAATACATTTATAATATTTATATTTATTTATAAATATATATTTATATACCAGTACCTGAATTCTTTTAGGCTAACTTTGGGAGAAAATGTTGTTAGAATGGAAGGCAGTAGTTAACTGTAAATTGAGGAGTTCGGGGATGTAGAAAAATAAATGACAGAAGTGTTCAACTCTGTTATTTTACAAGGACATTTTACATGGCTTAAAAATTTTTTTGAGTAGCTGTGACCTAGATTTTGGCTTTCTGGAGCCAAGGCCAAAAAGTTAAGTAACAGATCAGAAATCGTAAATAGTGTATTTAAAATTGGGTTTCTAAAAATATGGTGGTTTCTGCTCTGTTTCATTACTTCATGTAGATAGTATGTATCTGGGTAAAATAAGATTTGGTAAGTATTTCCTGAAAGCAAAACTAAAATGATCAAAGAGGTGACTTAGTGGCTTAGGCTTTTAGCATTAACAGAAAAGGACAACTATAATCTTAGAAAGTTAAGAATCCTCAGAATAAAAAGATAAGACCAAGAGAATGTAAAGGTAATAAAATCATTGGTTTTATATAAGGATGAACATAAACTTCAATGCTTATACTTCGATCACCGCTATATGCTCCATACCTAGAAGAGATGCTGGCATCTAGGAGTTGATTCTTTGTTTTTGAATGAAAAGATTAAAACCCCAGCACATTAATATTAAGTAAAACTGTTCTTTGAAACGTTTGGAGAGCTGATATTAGTACTTAGACACTAATTGTGTGAACGGATTCATGGGTTAGATAATTTATAGATGATAAAAACATATCATCAAGAAGTTAAAATTGATGCCTAACCTCCTGAAAATTAACTTTTGAGGAGACAACGATGTGCTTCTCAAAATACTGCCCTTGTGAGAAGCAGTGTGTCATGAAGTATATTGTGCTGACTTATGATAGCATTTCTACTAGGTTAAAGAAGGTATTCATTTAAGAGGGGAAGGAGGTAACTGTAGATATTGTGCATATAAATAATAGTCCTAGAATATGAAAGGAGATAAATAGTAAAAGAAAACCCATATTGTTATGTTTGATGCCAGAGGGGTCCTTGGGAGGGAGAAAGTATATAATCAGAGGTTTAGAATCCTGATGATCTTTCTCTGTCATGCATATGTTTATGAGAAGTGCTATCTGTCATGTAAGGATTAGAGATTTCCATTTATATCTTAAATTTTGAGGTTATTTGCTGCTATTAGTTTAATCTATTATAGATCTTAATGGATGTCATAAAGTTAACCTGCAATGCTGAGACCTACTTTCTTATATCAGCCAAAAGAAAAACTGAAAAATTTTCTTAGTTTACAGGATCTTAACGTAACTTATATTTTTCTCTGCCCTTAACTATATAACTTATATTGCAGAAATTGGAATGGGATTAACAGGATTTGGAGTGTTTTTCCTGTTCTTTGGAATGATTCTCTTTTTTGACAAAGCTCTACTGGCTATTGGAAATGTGAGTTTTTCAACATATATTTTAACTGAAGTCATAAGGAAACTTGAATTACAAATGAATTATTGCCTGCTATTAAATTTTGGGGGAAGTAATTTACTGTTACTCATAAAGATTCCTATTGTCTTCTCTGTTTACATTAGTAATAAAAACCTGTTTCGGCCTGGGTGGCTAAGTTGATTAAGCACCTGCCTTTGGCTCAGGTCATTATCTCAGGTTCCTGGAATGGAGCCCACATCAGGGGCTCCCTGCTCAGTGGGAAGCGTGCTTCTCCCTCTCACTCTGCCTGTTCCTCCCCCTGCTTGTGTTCTCTCTCTCTCTGTCACAGAAATAAAATCTGTAAAAACAAAACAAACAAACAAACAAAACCTGTTTAAATAAAAGGTAAACACTTAAAAGAGATTTTTTTTTCTCATTTATTTTTTTATAAACATATAATGTATTATTAGCCCCAGGGGTACAGGAACCCTCCCCAATGTCCATAACCCCACCACCCTCTCCCTACCTCCCTCCCCTGGCAACCCTCATTTTGTTTTGTGAGATTAAGAGTCTCTCATGGTTTGTCTCCCTCCCTTCCTACCCCCCAAACCCCCCACATTGCATCTCCACTTTCTCATATCAGGGAGATCATATGATAGTTATCTTTCTCCGATTGACTTATTTCGCTAAGCATAATACCCTCTAGTTCCATCCACGTTGTTGCAAATGGCAAGATTTCATTTTTAAAGAGGTTTTTGAATGACTACCCTGTTGAGTGTTTGATATGTAATATACAATAGATTAAATCAAGGCTGCCTTTAGATAAGAGTTCAAAGTAGATGACTTGGGAGCCCCCATGTCTTGGTAAATTTATTAATATGTCTAACTTAGAACATCCGACTTGAAACATTTGGTTCAGTAACATAAAATAAATAGATTTTTAAAAACCATTTAAACCTCTTATATATCTGTATATTAAGAGTCGATTTGCTGAGAAAAGTATGTTTATTGTTTATTTGGAATATGTACTTTGTTGTCCATTGTGAAGGTTGTGCAGGAGTTCTAGAAATAAATCATAACCCTTTTAAGAAGACAACAAAGTTACTGAATAGTGTTAAATATCTTCGAAGTATACATTATCATAGAGCTTTTAATTGGAAATTAGGAAATATAAGGTTAACAAAACTATTCCAAATTGATGTTTTAGTTAATAATATAAATGCCATTGCTCTCTGAGAATATGAAGCTTAACTGTTTAGAATATGAAGCTTAACTGTTTAGGCTCAAACATTAAAGATAGTTACAAAGGCAAGTATTAGGATTAAAACCTGGGGAAAAAGCAAGCTTTTAATAGATGACCATTTTTGCTCGCTATCTGAAAACATACAAAATATGTGTATATTTGAGAACATAACAGCTTTATTTTTATTTCTGCTGCCACCATAGATTCTGAGATAAGTAAGACTAAAATCTTCTTCCTGGCTTTGCATGGTTTCCTCTATCAGCTTGGCCATGTCAGTATTTCTCCCATCCATAGGAACTCCTGTAGCCATGGTGAAGTGTATTTCCGGGTGACATGTTTATGGGCTGCCTTCCTCTTTCGCTCTGCCACTCCTCAGCTTAACTAAAACCCTCTCCATCTCGCTTACCTGGGAAAACACTGCATATGCACCTGCCTTTTGGTAACATCTGATCTTTCTTTGATACTCTTTTTCTCCATTTAATCAAGATAGAAGAGGACTGTGAAGAGTGGAATCCAACTTCAGCTTTCCTGTGCTTAGCCCACTCCTTGATTCTGCCTCTTGGCGTGCATCATAGTTTCCTCCAGCCAGTTGCCCCCACTGAGAGCCAGATGTGCTGCTTTTAATTATATTTAGCTTTGAACTTGCTTTTCAAATTTATGCAGTGTGTTTGACTACTTTTTCTATCTTGCATCTTCTTTCTCTTCTAGGTTTTATTTGTAGCTGGCTTGGCTTTTGTCATTGGTTTAGAAAGAACATTCAGATTCTTCTTCCAAAAACATAAAATGAAAGCTACAGGATTTTTCCTGGGTGGAGTATTTGTAGTCCTTATTGGTTGGCCTTTGATAGGCATGATCTTTGAAATCTATGGATTCTTTCTCTTGTTCAGGTAAGGCAATTATTTTACTCTTTCTCTTTCAATAAACTAGTATGCCAAATAATTATTACAAAAACCTAGACATTTGCATCAGCATGAGTACAAAGACCATAATTTCCTCAAATGGATTTTTTTTACATTGAATCTTTTATTGAATCTCTTATTAGATAATTCAGTCAACTATAAAAATGTTTATTAAATGTAGATGATTGCCAGTAGGGTCACTGTCTTGTATTTTCAACATGATAAAATTGGTTTTTATTGAGAATTTAAAGCATTATCTTTCTATTGAAAGCACTTTGCATTTAAGGCACTTTGTTATTTTTAGCAACGAAACACTGATACATACATACATACAGTATTTTAATTCATAGAACCTGATACTGCATAGTTACTGCCACTGGATGACAATTCTTTTAGTACAAACACACATTAGAAAATTTTGTACCAGACACAGTATGGTAGATTTTGATCAGTGTTTTACAAATGCTAGTTACTAAGTGAATAAATAAGTATTCTATGTGAGAAAATACCTTTTAAATAAGGTTGGTTTAATTATTTATTCAAGATACGTATATCCTTTGTCTTCTATCTGCCAAATACTGTGTCATTCATGGGAGACATAAAACCAAAGTAAGTATCATATCTGCTTTAGAGAATGTCTCATTTCTGATAATGGGAAATAGACTATAAAGAGACCAGCAGGGTATAGTAGTAATGTGTTATAGATGTATAAGCACAATACTCTAGAAGTATAATAAAGAGATGAAATCAGGGGAGAGGTAAGAAACATTACCACTAAAGGTAACATTTGAAATTTGAAATCTCCAGAACGTTCAAAAGTTTAACTAGATCTTTTCTTTTTATTTGGTTAGCAGTTGATTTTGGTAATAAGAATCTGTAAGTTCTGAGAACCATTTTTTCCTTCTTCCTAGGGGCTTTTTTCCTGTGGTCATTGGCTTTATTAGAAGAGTGCCAGTCCTTGGATCCCTCTTGAATTTACCTGGAATTAGATCAGTAAGTTATCATGTATTAGAAATAAAATTTTTAAACCATCAAAATAATACTCTTTGATGCTCCTCAAGGAATACAATAATCAATACCTGATTGATAAGTTTTTTATTATGATATAAATTGTTACATCACCGTAGATCATGGTTACCATGAATACCAGAGAAAATAATCATTGCTAACTGTAAAAAACCTGAAATTTTGTTTCACTATATCCATTTTTAATATTCTTGATTTTTTAAAATGTAACTCAGACTGATATGCTATGTCACCTTTCTCTTTGAGAGTTCAAGGTACTTTACAATTAACTTTTATATGATTTCTAATCTTAGAAGTCATTATGTAAAAAGGACATCATTATTTCTTTTTTCTTTTTTCTTTTTTTTTAAGATTTTATTTATTTGACAGACAGAGATCACAAGTAGGCAGAGAGGCAGGCAGAGAGAGAGAGAGGGAAACAGGCTCCCTGCTCAGCAGAGAGCCAGATGCAGGGCTCGATCCTAGGACCCTGAAATCATGACCTGAGCTGATGGCAGAGGCTTAACCCACTGAACCACCCAGGCACCCCAGGATGTCATTATTTCAAATAAGATTTTCTTTCTTAGACTGTATCACCAAATAGCGTGCACTAAGACAATTAAATCAATCACAATTATACTGGAAGTCAGATGATAAAATTCTGTTTCCAGCTCTCTCCACAGTTTGAATGATCTCACAAATCTGTTCCTTCAAGATGGGCCATCAACTTCCTAAAGTTGTTTATAGACGTTTGTAGATGTTTGTAGAGACATAATCTGTAGCATTAACTGGTTTCTCAGAGAGCTAAAGGATGTCTTACCCACTGAAGAATGGGTTTTGCTGTAAGACAAAGTCTCATTTCCAACCTCAAGTCAATTTTACAGTCAGAATCTTATAGCCTAGACAACCTAGATATTTGAAGTTACCTTTGGGGAGAGAATGTTGTGCTTTCTCTCCTCCTAAATTTGCTTTAAAATCCTAATGAATCCATGGTACTTTCAAAGCAGCTTTTAGTTTTGACGTGCCAATCACCTATTTATAATGATATAAAATGTTGGAATTTAGGCTGTTAGGGGGTTATGTCCAGATCTCATTTACATTAATCTCCAAACTCATACTGTAGTCAGTGTTGTTTTTACTTATGAATTTTACTTATGAATTTCTACAATGGCTTTTGAATTTACCAAAACTTCTAGTTATACAGTTGTAAACATTATTCACATCCTTAATTTAAGGATTCTTCGCTATCTGTGTAAATGGATAGCCAGTACTATAAATTATGTTTCCTATTATTATTACTTCATGATAATAAATGGTTCAGTAAAAGTGTGAATCGTGAAATGAAGGGCAAAATGATTGCTAAATTTTGATAGTATTTTGACCACTTGGGTTACATAACTTTTAATATGTCTCCACTAATTATTTTGTTTTAATATTTGCATCACCATCTGGAATGCTGAAGAAGGCCCAGTTGCTTTACATTTGGGGTGGAGTAGCCAAAGTAAATAACCACTTACATTAACGTGTGTTAAAATTTATATTCAGTAACTATAAATTTATGCTTGCCTCATTACATCTATTTTTAATGTCATTGCCACTTTCAGTCTGAAGTCCAGAACACAAATTTAAAGTATTTTTAGTCAATAGATGTTGTTAATTACTGAACTTAATGGAGTTAAATCTGTTTGTTCAAAGACTACATAGGCCCAGAAGAGATCCTCAGTAATGGTCAGTTGAAATATCTTATTGGGTTCATTAATGCATGAATGGCTGACATTTCAGCTTTTTATTTATTTTTTTTTATTTTTTGTTAAGCTAGCAATGTTAACTTCATTTTATCCAATTTTTTTATTCATTGTGTTGCATTTCTCGTGTTGTACCCTTAAAGTCATATGCATAACATGTCATGCAAAAACAATCTTAGCAAAGAAAATTTTTTTATACACATTTGCGTGTCAGGAGATTGTGGTGAGTAGTACTGGATTAACCATTGTCAGTCACACCTTAAATTTCCACGAATCTTATATAGCTGGGTATTTTAATCAACATTTAAAATGTTGATACAGTGTTTTTATAATGCTGTGGGCTTTCTTTTAATTACCTGTTTTTCTTCTCCTTGCAGTTTGTAGATAAAGTTGGAGAAAGCAACAATATGGTATAACAACAAGTGAATTGAAGACTCATTTAAAATATTGTATTATTTATAAAATCCTTTGAAGAATATTCAGCACAAAATTAAATTACATGAAATAGCTTGTAATGTTCTTTACAGAAGTTTAAAACGTGTAGTCTACAGAGTACCAATAGCAGTTAACAAAGAGGCCATGAGAACAGGCTTCTAATCAAGTGAGCTAAGAAGTCAGCAAGCAAACTAAAGGAGATGAATCTATGTTACAATACTTATTGAAACTCTTGAAGGCGATTTTTATTGTTTATCCACAATATGCGAAACACAGCCATCCTTGGAGAACTCTGGGGCCTGTTTCTTTTCTTCTTCTTTTGAAGGCGCAGAAGAACCCATAGGCATTTGCTTTTTAGAAATATCCACTGGAGTGGCAAAAGTATTTCCAGTTGCACTGTGTGTCTGAAAGTGATGCATGAGTAAGATTGGATTATGTCATTTAATGTATTAAAACTAAGGAAAATCCAGTTTTGATGTATTAATCACTTTTTTTTGTAAACATATGGTTAAAATAAAACATTTGTGGTACTTCTGATTCTTAATATTTTAAAGCCAGATGAAAATCTGGACTAGATATTCACTGACAGAATATGCAAAGGTCATTCTTTATAACTAAACACTCCAGAACTACTCATACTTCTTGAGAGTCTGACCTAATTATCTGTATCCTTCATTACATGTAAGCATCTAACAAAAACCATTGAGTAGTCTGTTACATACCTTTTTTCATTGAATAGTCTTTTATTTAAGATACCAAATGATGCAAGCCAAATGGATTTTTCTGTCATGGTGTAGTTTTTCTTTTTTGTGTTTTGTTGTTGTTGTTGTTGTTGTTTTTTTAACTTTTGTAGTGATTTTATCATTTTCTTTTTCATAAGTTAAATAACTATTGATAATGTTTAATATGTAACATGTTAAAAGGTTAAATTTACATTTGTTAAGAGCTTTTCATGTAAAGCTGAGTTTTCCTTTATTTTTAGCTTTTTCCTAACATCAAAATCAATATGCATGATGAATCCTTCATAAGATCACTCTTTGTCTTGAGTTCATGGAGAAAATATCTGAATTCACATGCTAAAGTTAGTTTACTATAATTAAACAGACTATAGTTTCTTAAAAACATGACACTAAAAAAATGTGTTGTTTTTTTCTACCATTGATGCTTGTCTGGCAGAAAGAAACAGTGGCCATTTCTTCATTAGTTTTCTGAGGTGGCTGCTTTTCTGGTAGATGTAAGAACACGTTTCAACAGTTATAGTACTACTTGTTTTACCACTAATGATTGCACTATTTACTTTTTTTTAACAGTTGCATAGCTTTTTAACACACAAAATCATAACTGAAATTTGTGATTTTTATTTACAAACATGTCTACAAATTATATCACAGCTTATGTTATTTTTAGTTAAATCTTGATGCACAGAGAACACCCATCCTTGCTTTTCTAAAGAAGGAAAGATTTGGTATATAGTTCAATGGTCAGTCTTGTGGATTACTGCCTTTTGGTACTGGCATTTGACTTATGACATAATCTGTGAAATTAGATGATATTGATGAAATGAGACTCCTACCTCAATAGTTCATGGAATAATAAGAGATCTAGTGTTGTGTCTAATGTTCTTCAAAAAAGTAATATCCTCATTTGGAGAGTGTCAAATATATACATATTTTGGGGATCGACTTATACAAGTTGCCCTGTAGGACTCTTATACATATTTTTGACTGATCCATATTATTTTCAGTGGCTAGATAATTCTATCTTTTTAGAACAAGAACTGTATCTGTTAATGTAAGGAACATCTGTATTATTTAACTCCTTTGTAGACATGAATTTCTATCAAAATGTTCTTTGCACTGTAGCAGATCTCTTTTTCAAAATCTTATTTCAGAATCGTTATTAGAAGTTGTGTAAAGGATTTGATAATCTCCCAGTCCTTAGTAAGATTGAGAGGCTAGAGCAGTTTTCAGTTTTCAAAGAGTCCACAGTTAATTTCAAATGTGAGTTTGGGGCTGCTTGGCAGCATTCATTGTATATTTCTTCTCAGAACCACTGATGAGGCTGTTTTTAAACATACTAGTCTTCTGACAGAAAGCACTGTACATTATATTGTTTCTTTCTTTCCAAAGTTAGCCTTCTGTCTTTGTGACAAAAATATACTTTGATTATTGCTATGAAGATGGAGGAAAAGGTCTAATACTACTTAGCCTTAAGTGTACCTGGCATTGTTCAAATGTATTTTCTGTAACAGAAACATACTTGCAATGTTTTTCTTTTCCCATTATAAATTGTAATTTCTGGAATATTGCTGCTTTAAAAAGTCTCACAGTCAGATTATATGATCTAACAATTGAATATTGTAAATACACTTGTCTTACCTCTCAATAAAAGGGTACTTTTCTATAAATTGGTGGTTGTCTTAGCTCGGGCTACTCTAACAAAATTCTGTAGACTGGGCGGCTTAAACAGACACTTGTTTCTCCCAGTTGTGGATGCTGGGAAGTCCAAAAAAAAGGCGAGGGTAGACTCGTTTATTGGTGAGGACCCTCTTTGTAGCTTTCAGACAACTGCCTTCTTGCTACATCTTCATATGGCAAAGAAAGCTTTAGTGTCTTTGTCTTAAAAGGACATCAATCCTGTCATGGGGGCAAGGGGATTCATCTTCATAATCCTAATTGCTCCCCAAAACCCCTCCTCCAAATACCCTCACATTGCTGATTAGGGCTTCAATATATGAATTTGGGGAAGATACATATTCAGTCCTTAACCATGGTCAAATGTATCTTTATAATGAAATTCAAAAAATTAATTTAGCATTGCACAGTAACTCACCTCATTTTTTTTAAATTAGCCTTATATGCAGTTTTCCTTTTTTTTTTAATAAAATGGTCATATTTTCCATTTCTAAATTGTTTAAATGTAATCATAAATAGAAATGGATTTCAGGTTAAAAAAAAAAGTGGGCAGTGAACTTAGAAATAGTGGGAAAATGTTTAAATATATTTTCTCAAAATGAAAAGAATTGGCTAACAACATTAATAATAATAATAACATAAGTATTTGTGACAGACAAAACCACTTCACTGGCTTGATTATAAATTTTGGTATGGCTAAAAATCACTAGCCATGTGTAACACTTAAAGTACCCTTATAAGTATTTGTTGAATCCAGTACTTGAACTGCAGGTCTTAACTATTGTCTGGTGAGCCAGAAGTCTTAAATCTTTTTAATAGATTTCTAACTTTGTCCTCTGTGCTGAAAGTTTCCAACCTCTACACCTCTGCTACCTGTACCCAATGGAGGAACTAGGACACAGAAGTAGGATGCCCCAAATCCAACGACTGGCACACTTCTCCACAACCTTACCTCTACTAGCTCTCTAATCAAAAGGTCACCTCTGTCATATCGCTCTTGACTCACTATAGCAAAACAGCTGGTCCATCCTTGTCCTCTCATAGAACTTTCCACTTGTTTAAAGTATTTGATTACAAGAAGAGAGATTTTCGAGATTCAAAGCCTCGAGGAGGAAGACTGTAGATGCTGACCAATGAGTGGGAAGTTTTATTTTAGAGGGCAGGCCTTCTCTGTGGCCCTGAATGACAGGTGGCCCTTTGAAGAAGTGACTTCTACTTGTGAGACAGCTGGCTGGCCTATGGGGCAGACCCAAGCGCCCTAGCATAGAACAAAGCAAAGTTAGGAGAATGAACCAATCACCTCATTCATATTCTACCCAAATCCTCTGTCATCAAAGGAGTAATTTGGATCTTTTATTATCATAACAGCCATTATCCAGGTAATGACCTGAGATAGGAGTGTTTTCTGTGTAAACACAATAATCACTAACTTTGTAAAATACAATTTAAACAATGACCATTATTGTGTAAATGGACCTGGGCACAATTCAGTCAACTGGAAGAACTGATCCAGGCAAAATGGTCTCCATTGAATATGCCTTTTAAAAAAGGTGTATCTTAATTTGTCCATTGCCCACTGCCTGGTCGTAATATCAGCAGAACAAAATTCAGTGGTTTTATCCGTCAAGAGCTTCTCTTCGCCCATCTCTAAGTTTGGACCTGTTTAAAGTCCTAAAGGATTGTGATTTAACAAAATTGTATTAGGAGGCAATGCCATTTTAGACAAATGCATTCTAGCATGTTGCTTTTGATAAGACTACAATATTGATAATATGTCAAAGCCATTCTCCTCACTTGTGCATATTATGCTGAAAATGGCAGCTTTGACGTAAAGCATCTTGTGAATTCATTAGCTAAACTTTTATAAACAAACCACATGATGCCTTTTCCTTAAAATTGTAAATTCAAAACATGGTTCTTTCGGTGATTCATTTTCCTGTCCCCCTTTCTAAAATGTTTATGTGTTTTTGGTATGGGGAGGGAGAAATAGGCATTTTGCTTGTTAGGTGACCTAGCGGTTGGGTTTCACTTAAGAGTTCGTTTGAAACAAACCCATGTATAATTTTATTTCTGTTATTGCCCTTTTTTGGAAGTTGCTATAATCCCTTGAAATTAAATCCTAAAATTCTGAAGTCTGATATTTAAAGAAATGTTAAGATTTTATCCAGTTTTGGTGTTAACCTATTAGTCCATGGTTTTTATTCTTTCCTGTCTTCTAAGATTGTGGGAAACACTACAGTAACGGCTTTGGCTCCTTCTTGCTTGACTTATGCTTTAAAGGGAGTAAATAGGGGCGCCTGGGTGGCTCAGTGGGTTAAGCCTCTGCCTTCGGCTTGGGTCATGATCTCAGGGTGCTGGGATCGAGCCCCACATCTGGCTTTCTGCCCAGCGAGGCGCCTGCTTCCCCCTCTCTCTCTGCCTCTCTGCCTGCTTATGATCTCTCTCTCTCTCTCTGTCAAATAAATAAATAAAATCTTAAAAAAAAAATAAAGGGAGTAAATATTCCACAAGTTTCTACGTACAGACAACTTTCTGTATTTCACTCTCATTTACTAACCAAACCTCATGTCTTCACAGGCTGGCAAGTCTAAATTTCAAGCACCCAAATCACAATCTCTCTTACACGAGTATTTGCAGATAGATATCATCAGCCCCTCAAACTTCAATCCCAAATCAAATTTTTCTGTTCTCTCCCCATACTCCCTAATATTTCTATGGTAACCATTCTCTCAGCCACAGAGACTCTGAAGTTCCATTTTTATCATCTACATCCTCTAAAGCCTTACTATTCAAAATGTCCTATGATCAGTGGCTTAATATCCATCAGTGTCACCCAGGAGTTTATTAGAAATGCAGAATTTCAGTGGTTTAGACGGTTAAGTTCCTACCTTAGGCTCAGGTCATGATCCCCCAGCTCTGGAAAGGAGGCTCCGAGGCAGGCTCCCTGCTTGGCTGAGAGCCTGCTCCTCCCTCTCTTTCTGCCCCTCCCACCCACTCATGCTTTCTCTCTTTCAAACAAATGAAATCTTGGGAAAAAAAGAAAAAAAAAAAGGAAAGAAATGTCGAAGTTCAGATGTCACCCTACCTGTACTAAATCAGAATCTGCATCTTTACAAGGTTCCCAGGTGATTGATATGCATCTTAATTCCTGAGGAGCGCTACTCTAACTTTTAGAGGAAAGGGATTATCTTTCTTACCTAGAATGCCTTAGCCTATGGTGGGTACTCAGGTCCTTCAGTATCTGCCTAACTGTTTCACCTGGGTATTGATATACTTTGCATCCTCTCCCTCTTGCTTTCTACACATTCCTTTTTGCAGTAACTTTCTCTTCAGCATCATCAATGTTTCCTTCTCCTGATCATCACCATCAGCATACATTTTCTGCAAATGGTTTGTTAGTTGTCATCAGGAGAAACCAACTAACCTGATTTTAGTAGGGCACTGCAGATGGTTTCCCCATCCTGCAGTCTGATATAAGCACCATAGGCAGTATTGCCCCTACAAACTCAAGCCTACCACAACCGCTGCTGCGTCAGAAAATGTCTCTCCTGAGTCCCACTTTCCTCCATCCTTGCTCCAGATTTCCCATCCAAGTGGGTCTGTCTGATTGGTGAAGACTGTGTCACATGCCAACACCCTACCTGAAAGGGAGGCTGGGAAAATGCGTGTCTGACATTTCCGCCTTGTAGAACAGAAGTCAGGCTCTGTCTCCCACCAAGATTCATAATGCCATACTTCATAATTTAAGGAATTTTAGGAATTCCCTAAAAATGAAAGGGTTCAATTGTTACTGAAAGGTCAAAAAAATAATAACATACTTGCACCACACTCAAACATTTATCTTTAAAAAAAAATTCATTTTTCCTTTCCCCCTTTCAGTGAAATGTAGTGAAGCTAACTTTAAAATGCTATCTGCACTTGTCTTTACTTCCTCATATCCTATTCACTTTCAACCCACTCCAGTGTAGCTTATGTTCTCAAAAACCATTATATTTCCAAAACCAGTGCTCACTTCTTGGTGCTCATCTACCATGACCTCTCAGGGTCGCTGAATATTCTGCTGGTTTCCACGGCCTCATGGTCTCCAGGAATTTCTCTTCTCTTTCTGATAGCTTCACTTCAACTTGCTTAGCTGGCTCTCCCTCTGCTCATCTCTGCATGTTTGTTTTCATAGCTCTGTTCCTGATTCGCTTCTTTAATTCCATTCACTCTCAAACTGTTCTCATTCAATCCCAATCCCTTTCCTGCCTTAAAATTCTTACAATTCTTAAATTTGACCATTTCTGCCTTTAGGAAAAAAGCTGTAGGCTGGTGTCCTCTTTGCTGAGCTCTGTAGAGTTTTGAATTTCCAACTGCCTACTTCACACTTCAATTTAGATCCTTAATGTATATTTTAATTTTAATATTCAATTTAATTCCTCTCTCTAAACTGGCTCATTATGAAGTCTCCCAATTTCAGTAAATGGCTTTATCATACCCAGTGTTTAAGCCAGAAACCCAAGACTCGTCCTTGATTTATTTTTCTTATACACTCATATCCCATTTAACCACAAGTTCTAAATTTTATACCTCCAACAAGAATCCCAAATTCATCTACAGATCTCAATTCCCTGCAAGTCCTTCCTAAGTCTAAGCCATCATCATCCTTTGCTTATAATCATGTTTCCATATGAACCATTTCTTCCTCTATGACCTCATTTCGAATTACTCTCCCTTATTACCCCATGACCACTCAGTTTGGCCTCATTGGTCTCCCTATTTCTCAAACAAGCCAAGCTCTTTGCCATCCCAAGATTTTGTTTTTCTTTTTTTCTCCTATTATCCTAATTCTCACTCTGATTCATCTCATGTCTGACTCTACCTGATTTTTCCAGAAACCTCTCAACTGCTACCTTCCCTAAAGTATTCCACTACTTATCACATCACCTCACTTATTTTTGCTTTATAAAGCATTTAAAACATCTTAAAATTACCTTGTCTACCTGTTGACTAGTTTACAGAAGTTCTCCCCTGACTAGAAGATAAGCTTGATCATGGCAGAGACAGTGTCTTTTTAATGCATGGCTGTGTCCCTTCAACTAGAAGGAGAAATGTCTGATACATAGTAGGGATTCAATAAATGTTTGTTAAATAATTGAATGGGTACAGAATTGAAGGAATGATGTAGAATTCCACTGAGATTCCCTAACCTTTTTATTTCTACCCAAAGATTCATGTTTAGTCAGTCATCAGCTTGACAACAAGCTACCCCAAGGCAAGTTTGCTTACTTTATTTGTTTACTTTTGATTCAACTCAGGCTTGTTAATCATTTTCTCTACTAATAATAATAAATTGGGAAGCTAGCGGGAAAGGCGAAAACAATGACACTAATATATTCCTAATATCTCCTGGCTGATGTGGTCAGTATCTAAATAAATGATGTCCACTCATCAATCATTTCTTTACTTCCTGCAAATGAATCTCCCTGGGAAAATTGTCAGATCCTCTCAATCTTGAATACTGACAAGAAGTCCCTATGGACTCCCTAACTCTAGTGAAGATCAGGAGGGGTCGTTGACACTAAGATTTAAAAGCCCCACTCTCAGAACAAGATTAGAAAACTGGTAGGTAAAGTTACAGTTATTGCAGTTTCTGGAAAGGAGCTGAACATGAAGGTAAGTGAAAGTTTTATTTACTTGAGACTTTTAAGCTGTTTATGAAAAGTTTTATAGCTTTTTAACCTATTTTACCTTTAATAAGCATTTTATAGGCCAAATGATATTTAAACAATACACCTTAAAATATCAGAATCATTTGATTTTGCTAAAAAAAGATTACTCATTTTGGGCAAAGTAATGAAAGTAACATATTTCTAAAAATTTTTTTAAAAGAATTCTTTTGTGGTTTAACTAGAAGGCAGCCTCGGTAATCCCCCTCTCCTCTAGATACTGAGTATTATTAAAACAGAGCACATGGAAAATTTAAGAAGTTTGTAATTTTCCAGGTGTCACAGAAGTAGAAGATCCCATAGGCACAGCAATTACTTTCTTTGCTCTTTTCTTATAGAGACTCGGAAGTCTGGTGGCAACAACCTTGGCTCTTTTCTTAGTGTTTTCTTTCTTGGGAAATTCCAGGAGTGCGCCACAGGTAATCAAACGCAAAAACTGGGACTCCTGGATGTTGTTTCTTTTTTGTTCCTTTCCTTCCTTACTTTCCCTTCCTTCCTTCTGTTTCTTCTCCCATTCCTTCCTCCCTCTCTTCCTTTCTTTTTTCTAACAGAGGACTGGGCTACAATGTCTTACTAACTGCTTTTCTCTTCTCCCTGGGTTGTAGGGACTCTTTGAGAGACGGAACTGGACTCCTCAATCTATGCTCTATCTGAAGGGTGCACGTATGTTCCAAATACTTTGCTTTTCCTACAGCAATAAAGGAGGAAACTTCGGGGTGCATGAATCCATGGGATAGATGTGTGGGGAGAGAATAATATCGAGTGTGTTCCCTTAAATAACCGAGGTCAGCCTGGTCTCCGTCAAAGAAAAGGGATGGGGGGTCTGGCAGGGAAGAGAAAGACTCCCTGATTATTAGAACCTTTCCATTCTGACCTGGAGGGTTGCTGGCTCTTGCCTGGGAAACGCCGCAAGGACCCTTGAACCCGACCACTGCTCAGAACCCATTCGCCGGGGCTGGCAGAGCGTGGGCAGGCGCGGGGACAGGGCGCGGCAGGGCGCGGGCAGCGCAGGGGCAGGGTGCGGGCAGGGCACGGGCAGCGCAGGGCAAGGGCAGGGTGCGGGCAGGGCACCGGCAGGGCGCCTGGTCCAGCGAGGAGCTGCAGGCGGAACGCGGGAAAGCAGGCAGTCCCTCCGGGACCCCTGCCGTGGCGCCGCCGCCCCACCCCTCCGGGCCTGCGGACTCCCGGCGCGGAGCCCAAGTTAACCCCGCTTGTTGAGCACCTGGCAGGCGCTGAGCCCCCGCGTCTCGCCTTTGCAGAGGGGCGTCGCTTCATCTCGGACCAAAGCCGGAAGAAGGACCTCTCCGACCGCCCGCCGCCGGGTGAGTGAGCGAGGGAGGAGGAGACTGGGGCGGCGACCCGTAGCAGGATCCAGCAGGCGGACACGCTCCGCCTCGCGCCCGGCTCACAGCGGCTTGGCTCGGGCAGGGACGCGACTCCGGGGCCACCCTGGGGGAGAGCCGGCCGGGCCGAGCTTAATTAAGCTGGCAGGTGCGGCGCCCCTCACTAAAGCTGAACTCGGTCTGGGCTGTTCGGACCGCCCTCTGGCCGCCGGGGGTGCAGAGGTCCCGGGGAGTTATCCGAGGACAGGACAGGCCTGGGGGTTCACCTAACAGGAGTAAAGGAGGGGGAGCGAGAACCGTGCAACTGCTCCCAAAATGTACCTCCCTGTTTATACCAAGGTGTTTAAACGGTTTCCTCTTAAATGTTTTTGTTGTTATTAAAATACTGATTTACCTGGAAACTTAAAATGTACTCCCCTATTACATTACTAGAAGGGGCTATAAAGCCGTTCAAAAGCAAAAATAGTTATGGGGCACCTGGGTGGTTCAGTGGGTTAAAGCCTCTGTCTTCCACTCAGTTCATGATCCCAGGGTCCTGGGATCAAGCTCCGCATTGGGCTCTCTCCTCAGCGGGGAGCCTGCTCCCCGCAAACCCCCCCTCCCCCGCCGCCTGCTGTTCTGCCTGCTTGTGATCTCTGTCAAATAAATAAATACAGTCTTTTAAAAAAAAGAAAAAGAAAAAAGAAATAGTAGGGACCATTAAGAATAGGGCCAGGGACTGATATGAGCCTTATGCGTGGCCAAGAATGCAGATTATTATTTCAAACAGCTTTTACGGAAGGAGAGAGGAAGTAGCCCAGGCTCCCAGGAGGACCCATTACGTCTAAATGTTTTTGCCCAGACATTCCATTTTAATCTCTGAAGGGTGAAATCATTCAGAGTTCTTTACCTTAATCCACCCTCCATTCGTGTTGTTCTCTGTAGTCTGTAGTTTAAATTCTCTTGCATACCTGTAATACACACCATAACCAATTGTAAGTAACATCTACAGGAAGTGTAAAATGTTTCAATTCCTAAAAATCAGTCTTCTGTATAAAGAGGGGGGGGCTTTGTTAAGGGATCTAAAATCTATTTCATAAAGGTTTTTCTATTTATAGCATATCAGAATAGGGGTACTTAAATGGTTATAGAATCTGTACATGCTTTTGTTTTTCCAGAAAGACGCAGCCCAAATCCCCAGCTACTAACTCTCCGAGAGGCAGCAGCTCTGCTCTTGGCTTCCTTGCAAAAACCACAAGAAGGTACAAGTCTAGGGGCTCCTTTCAGCTGCAGGACAGGGAAGCTTTGATTACTTTTGGTATTCTGTGTTGAATACAACAAAGTTGCCTTTATTCAGATTTTTAAATATAATTAACAGTTGTCCCCTGACTCCAGAAACTCAGACATGTTTATTATATAAACACTAGTACATTTCTCATTAAGGAGAGTCCCCAGGAACATAAAAACATTTCTTTGATGATGCTGGGGAATTTCATACTAATTTCATAATCCAGAGCCTACTGTAACCTTATTTCACTTAGAACCAAATGACAGAACCAAAAGAAATTGCTGAAAATGAAATATTTTTATTTGCATATATAGCAACGTTATGCGGTACATCCTAATAGATATGGGCCAGTTCTGATTCTAAGCCTGTGCAATTTCCATTATACAGCTCCGTCTGTATGAAGATTAGGTGTACTTTTCAAATAGAGACATTTTGTCCATGTCTTATTGAAATCACAAGTTGAATTAAGGCATCTTGGTAATATATAAGCCAGTGCTTTGGAGGACATAACATGGTTCAAATCCTGGTTCTGCTGCTTTACAAGCTGGATGACACTGAGTCTTAGTTTCATATTGGTAAAATGGAATAATGATACCCATGTGCAGGATTGTTATGAGACCCGACTGAAACAAGGTACATAATTTTAATTACTATTAACAATGGAGGTCATCAAAGCATAATAAACAGACCCAGAATTTTCCCTCTCAAAAATTATAATGATGCCATATTGTGACATAATTTAAATGTTTAAGTATTTTAAAAATATATAGCAAGTGGTCTGGTGGTCAAAGCACAGGTTGCTACTGGCCGAGTGCTCTGACACTTATGCTGAGGGGGAAGACATATAATCCTCAGTGCCTCGTATGGGGAGGGCCATGCAAGGAGAAGAGAGCAAAGGGTACTTTCTGGCTTCAAGCTTATAGTTTTCTTGTGAAAAAGATACCAATGAGAAGCAAATCCAAGAGACTGGCATTGGGTGTCCTCTGAATTCAGAGCAAGGCTGGGGCCCCTGTGGGGTTAGATGGGATTATGTGCACTTAGGCCTTCTAGGTACCAGCTACCGGAGCAGGCAGAGAAGAAACCAGATTAAAGGGAAGCAGGAATGAGAACGACCTTTGTAGCAAAAAGATAGGGTGAGGAGCGCTTGGGTGGCTCAGTCAGTTAAGCATCTGCCTTCAGCTTAGGTCATGATCCCGGGGTCCTGGGATTCAGCGGGGAGCCTGCTTCTTTCTCTGTCCTTCACCCCCACTTGTGCTCCCATATGTGCTCTCTCAAATAAATAAATTAATTAAATCTTAAAAAAAAATAGCGTGAGCAGTCAGTGGAATAGCAGAATGCAGGAGGAGTGGTTATGTTAGAGCTAGGACAATGATTACCTGCTATTACTACCACTACCTGGAGCTAATAGTTGTTGAGGGCTTACTGTAATGCAGGGAGCCGAGCACTGTTCTCAGCACGTCATATGCATTAATACATTTAACCCTAATGGTGACCCTGGGAGGTAAGCACATTATTATCCACTCTCCAGGTGAGGAAAGAGAGGCATAGAAAGATTAAGTAGCTTGCCCACTATTACATAACAGATATCTATTGGAACTGGGGTGAAGAACGAATGTAATTTACTCTTTGTCTGAGAATCAGGAAGATGCCTTCTGGATTGGCAGCAGAGGGATGACGTGGTGAAGGAGGATGGATCTGATCATGGCACAGGGAGTAACAATAAGAACTGTAACAGTAGCCACAATATAGAAAGGTCCGCTGTGTGTCAGATATGGATGTGAAACTTTCTAGCTCAGAAAACTGAACCTTCATGAAGTGTGTTTACTTTCCCAAGGTCACACCATTAGTGATGTTATGATGTTGGGATTTTAACTCAGGTCCATGTGACTCTGCAGCTCTCTCCAATATGCCATGCGAGCTTTCAAATGCATTGTGTCCAAGAGGAAAGACCCGTAGAAGGGAATCAGGGAGAAGCCAAAGAATATGACAGGAAACCACAGGAGTGAGGAGAGGAGGTGCTGTCAGTCATGGGAATCGATGGGGGAGCTCAAGTCCGAGGGATCCTGGAAGGAAGAATGGGTAACATAGATAGCTGTTTACTGAATGTATAAAAGGGAATCCAGAGTCCAACACATTTTGAAATGGTGATGCTGGTGATGAATGAACATTTATGCAGATATAATTAAGGTTCAGTTTGAGGTAACAGAAATGGTCTAGTGAGTAAAAGTGTGTAGGTCAGCGGTTCTCAACTATCCGCCTATCGATTGGCTCCATTGGAGTTAACTGGAGGGCTTACTCAAAATACAGTTTTCTCGGGGCACCTGGGTGGCTCAGTGGGTGAAAGCCTCTGCCTTCGGCTCAGGTCATGATCTCAGGGTCCTGGGATCGAGCCCCGCATCAGGCTCTCTGTTCAGCGGGGAGCCTGCTTCCCTTCCTCTCTCTCTGCCTGCCTCTCTGCCTACTTGTGATCTCTGTCAAATAAATAAAATCTTAAAAAAAAAAAATACAGTTTTCTCAGCCTTAGACCCAGAGATTATGATTCTGTAAAAGTTGAATGACCTCAGAATCTGTATCCTTGAGAAGTTCCCCCAAATGATTCTGATGATCAGTCCGATATGGGAACAACTGAAAATTCAGAGCCAGTTACTAAACACTGAAATCATGAAAATGGACATCTTTTCTAGGCCTCAAATAGAGCAGGAGAAAGGCACGTAATAAAGAATTTGCCTTAGAGAATACCTAAAGATGAAGGGAAAAGGAGGACCATCCTATCAGTGAAGGGACGTTCCAAGGAGAAGGCAGCAATGCAAGAGGAGAACCAGGATAACAGCATTTCCAGAAAGCAAGGGTGGAGAGTTTCAAGGAAAGAGTGATTAAAGCAGCACATGTAGCAGAATGGTTAATGAGAGAACAAAAGTCAACAGGAAAGGAAAATCGTGCTGGCTATGAGAGGTCATTGAACAGCAGTTCACAAGATTTCTGCTCAGTTCCTGCCCAGTGATATTACTTGCTACTGCCATGCCCCTCCTGAAACCTTGTTTAGAAGGAATTTGTGAAAAGAAGAAAGCAGGTACTAGCCAGCATGGCTCTCAGAGCTCTTGCAATGAAAAGGTAAGAAATGGTTGCTAATGGGTAGAAGATGCTACAGCCAAGGTGATCTTTTCTAAATTCCACATTCGGTACATTTACTATTTGTAAATGTACTATTTACTATTTACTATTGTTGAAATAGCAACTATTACTATAGTAATACTATAGTAGTATAGTATAGTAATAGTACTATTACTTTAGTACTATTTACTATTTGTTGAAATCAGTAGGAGGAGAGTGCTGGCGAAGATGGGTCGAAAGAGAAGTTTTAGATTTGGTTGCTGGGAAGAGGTATGGATCTAGAAAAAAAAAAGTGAACTAAAATGGAATGGGGAGAAGTTAATTTTAAGAGGGGAAGAAGGATTTTCATTAGCAACTTTAAGGAGGGCTCCAGAAAACCAATATTGTACTATATGTTAACTAACTCAAATTTAAATTTAAAAAAAAGAAACTTTAGGGATGCTTGGGTGGCTCAGTTGGTTAAGCGGCTGTCTTCAGCTCAGGTCATGATCCCAGAATCCTTGCTCTACAGGGAGCCCGCTTCTCCCTCTGCCTCTGCCTGCCACTCTACCTTCCTGTACTCTCTCTATCTCTCTGACAAATAAATAAATAGAATCTTAAAAAAAAAAAAAAAAAAAACTTTAGGGAAGAGTGTGTGTGATTACAGGTCCCAATTTCAAGTGTTTTTTTGGAAAATAAATGTAATTTTTTGATCATTAAAGCTTCCAGAGTAGCTTGGTTCTGATGATGAAATAAGAAAATAAAATCTACTAGTTTAAATTGAAGGAAAAGTTTTTAATTTCCATATGATATATTCATTACTGTTTTAAATACCTTTACTATTTTCATTCTAGAGTCCCTAAGCATTAGTAGGCTCTTATTTTATATAGTGAGTTTTTATTTTAGTGACCAATGTAAAAAGATACCCTTCTTATTGAGTTTTTTTTTTTTTTTTCTTTAAAGAACAGCCCATCATCTGTTGTATTCTAAAATGTGCCAGCAATTCAGGTTAAAATGTAACTCAGCCATGCAAATTATATTGTAACTAACTAAAGGAATGTGGTTTTATGTAGAGATAACCTTAGAGAAAGTTAGGAGAGGCATTCTCCTCTGGCAACTTCCTCTCCCTACCTCTGGTAGGTTTTAGCTCTTCTACTCATTTAGCTCTTCTACTGGAACCTGCTATAGCCTGACTGCTTACTCACTCTGCCCCTTAGTGATACCTCATGTATTAAAGTTTTTCAATCCCGTCCAGCTAACAAGTGTCCTTTCCTTTTGTCTCATTTCTTCCCCAGGTCTAGTCTAGCTCACCTAATAAGAGAATATAAGCAAAAGTGTTCCTGTGTCATGTTTCCCAAGTAAGATGCATTATTAACAAGAAACACAGAGGCAGTACCTTGATGCAATTGAATGGTTCTTGTGCTGGGTTTTAAAGACCTGAAGGGGCACACTTAGAGCAGGACATAAGGCCTTTTCAGATTTCTACCATGCATACCACATTATAGTTTCATTCATTCTGGAGAGTCAGATGTGAAATGTGAGTTCCCCTATGTGTCTTGAGCTGAGGAGGAAGATTTTTAAACCAAAACAATCAAAGCACACTTTGGATTCTCAGTAGCAAAGTGTAGGAGTTAACATAATTTAGGAAACTAAATGTTTATTTCTTAGGGTTCTCTACATCTTATCCTTTTCCCTTTTAAAACACAGAGAAGTGTGTTTATTTTATGTACTTTTTCTTTTTTTCTTACAGCTGGAGAAGAAAACTTTGATCAAACCAGAGTCCTAGAAGACAGTTTACTAAACTGGTGAAAGTAGACCAAGTTATATTTAAATACAGTTCCATTCTAGTTGAAAACATGAACCATGTAAATAAAGCCCTTGCACCCTTTTTACTTCAGTTGTAACGTTAGGAACATGCATAACCAATTTTATCCTTTCCAGAAGCAAAGCAATGTAGAGTTCTTAGCTGGAAACATCATGGCCTTCTTTCAGGGCTTCAGGTCCTGTGCAGGTCACCATATATCTTACTCCCATTTGTAATTATAAGACTGGAGACTCTGTAGAGTGTGTTTTCTATTTGTTACAAGTATCTGCCTTGATCTAGTGAGTCTTAATTGTTGGATTTTTCATTCCTTTACCCTTGCATTGTCCTGCACTCAGCTGCAAATCTCCCTCTCTTTTTCTACCTCCCCCCCCCCGCCCCCCAGTCTCCATGGGGGTTGAGGGGAAAAGCAAGGCTGGAGGGGAAAGAGCAGAGTGTATTCTCTTAGTTCATTTTAGAGTAAGTTGTTAAGAAGGGAAGGGGAAGGGAGGTGGGACTGGGAAGAAGCCCGTGATAAGAACACTTCACTGTAGTTGCTGAAAGGGGGGGAGGGGGGACCTGTTAGGCCAGTAGAAGGTTCCGTAGTGGGGATCTCCCCTTTGTGCTCTTTGGGGATCTCCGTGAATTCAAGGAGTTACTGAGAAATAAGCAGATGGAGACGCACTCTGCTCCTGGGTACATTGTAAAAAAGGAACAAACCAGTTTTTCAGAGGTAACTCTTGTTCCACAGCTAAACGACTCAAAGACTCTGCTTCTTGTAATTGACGAGAACTCTAGGCTTTATTTTACATTAAAACATTATATAAAGGCACCCTGATAACATCAGTACACGGTGATATGCCTCATCTGCTCCTTCTGAAAACTTTTAAATCTATCTGTAAACATACACACACACACACACACACACACATCCACAGTGAGCATAATAACCTGTTTATTTGGAGTTACAATATGATCAACATGTTAATTTTTTTGACCTAATTAGTTGAGAGTTGTTATTGATAAATGTCATAAGTGGAAAGTATTGTTAATTCTTATTGTTATCAGTATATAGCTATTATTCAGTAGCTAAAGGATATCTTTATGTGAATGGATCTGTACCGGGGAATTACAATTTCAGGGTTATGAAGTCAAGACCCTGCTTATAAGATTTGTCTGTATCTTGTATCATAATTGAATAATGAAACTATATTCAAGTAATTGTAACACTGATCTCTTCCAAAAATAAAATGCTAACATTAAAAAAAAGTGGTATCATAATAGGCACTTGTCATTTATTATGATTTAAGTGGATTTTCTAGATAGTGCATATGTCCAGTTTATTGAGATTTTACTCATCTGACATAGAGGTGTACATACTGGCTATTTAAACATTATGCTTATTCCAAGACTATTTTAAAACAACATATGAAATAATTCTACCCACAACTAAATAGAACAATATCAAGTGTTTCACACTAAAACAAAGTTTTTAAAAACTTTCTAAAAGACCAAGAACTATTAAAATAATACAGTATCATAGTAGAAGACTATTAGCATTGTATATAATATCAAGTATTATTGATAGGTGCTTGAATTCCTTGGATGTTGTTCTGCCATACAGATGTGCTGATTAGCATAGTAGTTGCAGGCCACCTGGGGGGCTCAGAGTCAGGCTCCCTGCTCAGCGGGGAGTCTGCTTCTCCACTCCCTCTGCCCCTCCTCCCACTCAATCCCCCTTCCCATGCAAATGAAAAAAAAATTGTAAAAACAACAACAACAACAAAAAAAGCATAGTAGTTGTATACAGGCCTCTATGCCCACCTGCTACAACATTCTGTCCCTCTTGGAATATCTTTGCAATTCTCTTTATTTCTATCTTTTTCAAAATTGAAATGAACAAATTGTATGCCTTATATTTTAAAAATGGGAAATACCTGCCCACAAGGCACACCAGGTACTAGAATACCTCCAGGTGGGACTGGTGGCTCCTCTGATCGCAGCTCCTGCTGCTCTTAGGCTCTTTGTGTCCAAATCCTTCCTCCCCTGTGGCTATCGCCTTCTAGCGGGGGCTCTCAATTATTTTGTTTCCCCGGGTCTCCCCAGTGGATGCCTCCTCTCCCTCCTTCCACTCCAACAGCACCATTATGATCCCAAGAGAGGAGAGAAGGCAGAGGCCCTAGACTGTTAAAATCAGCCTCCAACTGGCATTTCCCCTTTATCTGGTTATGAGAAATAAAAGTCTATATCCTATCCACCTTGAGTTACACTGTTTGCTTCAGCCACAGGAAACAGGGAAGTTGGGTATGTAACCCATTGGTCCCTTCCTACTGGACTATGAATTCCTTTAGTAGGAGTTTATTTCTACTGTGATCTGATCCTTAATACCAGCATGTGAAGCCAGCACTTGTAATGTGAATTCACAGAAGTGTATCCTCACCCTTTGGACCTCCCCACGTGCCCTCAACCAGTCCCTCTCCTGAGTCCTCTTTGTGCCCTGGGAAACTATTAGCAGACCACTTGTAACACTTTATATTCTCATCAGTACATGTAAAACCTGCTCTGTTCACCCTAACTCTTGAACATGGAAGGCAGGTGGGATAATGCATTAAAAAAAGGTCTTCTGGGGGCTGGTCAGGCACACATTAACTATTTTCTATAGTTCTTTTACTCCAACTTATGCATACATACATTCTTTAAAAACACCAATTTTTTGTACCTCTATTTCTCCCAACGAGACCATCCATTTGTGCAGCTACTGTGTATAAGGCACTGTGCTAGACACAGTCATCTATGAACCATCCTTACCTGTTGCTCCTCACATGGCTTTGTCAGTCTTGGGGAAGGAGGAAGGATTGGAGCAAGGGGATGGAGTCCAGTGGCAGCAGCTGTCTGAATGGAGGGGCGAGTGCAGGGGAGAAACGTGCCCTTCAACACCCAGTGTTTGCAAGTCCGTGAGTTTCCATCTGCTCTATCATTTGTACTCATTTCTAATCAGAGAACTGTTCTTCCGTTCAAAAAAAGCACCTGGATTTTCAAGTTTTATATTAAAAAGCTATTTTTCTGGGGCTCCTGGCTGGCTCAAAGGAGCGTGCCACTCTTGATCTCGGGGTCACGAATATGAGCCCCACGTTTGCTGTAGAGAATACTTAAATAAGTGTATATATATATATATATATATATATATATATATATATATATATTACTAAGCCATTTTACTAGGGAAACCTTGTGCTTCAATAACAGTGGACCAACCAGGTACAAACCAAGGGTATCACTTGAATACACACATTGTGTCACTTTACTAGGAATATATTTTCATGGTTATTGTAACTTTGAAACCCCTTTTTATCATGAGATCTTCCTGACACTTCTGCAAATGTGTATTTATAACATAAGACAAATACATGTCATATTTTCTGATTTCCTTGGCAGACTTTCCCAAACTGCTCTGCAGATGTTGAGTTAATTGGCATTAACAGGCATTTTTTCAAGGATTAGGTTTTAGGTAATTTATTTCTCTCCTTTCTGAACCTCTAAATGAGGTGAGTCCACAACCATCTTCCACTCTGGCCTGATTTGAGGCTTATATCCACCAATCATCTACTTTTTCTGAACAATGGGACAGGCAATAGGAGAGCTTGATTAACATCTACTACTCCTGAACCACCTCACACATGGCCACTGTTACTCTTCCCTTATTGCCATCAATAATCCAGCACTGGGCAGACTAAAAATTTTTCTTTTTTTTCAAAGATTTTATTTTTAAGTAATCTCCACATCCAATGCAGGGCTCAAACTCACAACCCTGAGATCAAGGGTCGTGTGTTCTACCAACTGAGCCAGCCAGGCATCCCAGACTAAAACTTTTTCAAAAACCTCTGCAGACTCAGGTGAACTGGTATGCCAATCAAGGTATTCATTATTATCTAAGTGTAACAATACTCAAGTTGTGGAAAGAACAATCCAAGAGGGAAGGAGGGTTTTTTGTTTTGTTTTTTTGCCTATTTAGATTTCATTATATTTAAAACATAAATATGTTAAACTACAATCATGCAACAATGTCTCTAAGCATATCATGGATGTGTTAGAGACACTGTCCTTATTATAATTAGGAAGACTCTATATTTTCTCTTTGCTAATTTTTTGAAGGACAGCTTTAAATATAATCCTTTATAAGGCACTATTTCATAGCAGGTGTTTTATACAGGTTATCTCACTTAAATGTCTAAAGAATTGTAAATAAGACATCAACAAAAGCTTAATACATTGATATGGATATTAAGTTATATATCCATATATTAGTTCATTTGGGTTTAACAATTAACAGTTATAGAAGATTGACCAAGTTTTCCAGAAAGCTTTCCTTTTAAAGAACAGAAAAATTGTTACAGTCAGATGGTATAGCGCAGATGGTAACATCTTCCCACCATTAAATTGAGAAATGATCTTGTAAATATGTGTTAATATGTATCAGGATCTCAATTTAAGATAGCTTTTTTTCTTGTGGATTTTGATTGTGTGCAAAGATAGAAACTCATCGTTCTGAATCATGTGAAACATGAACATAATCACTAAACACAGAATTATTTAAAATATGTATGTAGGGCATGTCCAGGGCTCAGATCAGAATCTTTTGCAGGAAAAATGGGAGGTTTATTTGGTAGATATGGCAGCTGTATAAATACTAAGCACAGGATTGTGGTGATGATAATTTAAAAATAAATACTAGCAAATGAAAATTCTTATTGATTAAATTAACATTTTAAAAACACTTCCAGTCTTCTTCCTTTAATGAACATTCTTCTTCGTGCCTAAATTTACTGGGGGAAGGGAGTAAGGGAAAATAACTTGGATTTTAATAAAAATTACCAAATTGCCATTCACTTAATCTTTTCCCCTTGGGAAGTGGAGAATAAATCCCTTAGTCACACTTAGAAGAAGAAAATGAAATTTGTAGCATTTTCATTTCTTTAAATAGTGACTCTTATTCTGTTCTTACTACATCAGCTCTGTTCGACAAGCATGAAATTCAGTTCTTGTATTCACCGTGTAGCTTTTTCTTCCCATGAGGAACACGGCCCAGAGAAAATGGCGACTTGATATTTAACCGATCCCTTTCAGCCTCCTCTTCCTCATTGTATCGCTCATCCTCTGCTTCGTCTTCCACATCACTGCTTTGAGGACTAGAGACCTGAGACCCTGAAGGAGAAGGTGGAACTGAGGAAGGCCTGGGGTACTTAAATCCTTCTGTCTGCCAAAGACAAAAATAAGTCACAAACATTATAATGATGTAAACACTTTGCATGTGCATTTGATACAAAACATAGTTGGATTTTTTTTTTTGTGGTCTGTTCATGGGCTCTTATTATCTTTGATTCCTTTTGATTGTGGTACCACCAAGCTTAAGAGAAATTCGTTAAATAAATAGCTTTCTTTTCTTGTGCACTGAAATGTGCCAGGTACCACATGTGTGTATGTATGTATATACATAATCTTATTTAATCTTTGTAACAACACCAATAAATGTGTTTTTCACATTTATAGAAGAAAATTGAGGGTTAGAGAGGTCAGATGACTTGCCAAAGGTCATGCAGCATATAAGTGATAGAGCACATATAAGTGATGTGTACCAGGGTTGTGATCACTCCCTAGCTTTTAATATCAACTGTCATGTTACACCACTGATACTGTCAGTCCCCATGCCACTTTGCAGGCCTGCTCAACAAAATTACAGGACAGGGGCAACTGGACATACCATGGACAGCTACCACTAGAACGAATCCTGAAGCCAGGCCACTTAGCTGATCCTGAAATTCTACCTGTTACTTTTATGTCAGTATATGAGCAAAAGTCACTAGGTTTTAATCAAATTGCCCTTCCACTTAAGATTCATGGAGATAAATCATCTGATCAATGAGTGTGAAGCACAACTATGGGTCAGGCACCATAATGCCACTGAGGAAGCAAAGAAGAAAAATGTGATTCTTGCCCTTGGAGAGAGCACATGTTTGACTGGGGAGAATAACTGTAGAAAATAGTTGCAGCACTTATCAGTCTGTATTTCAACTACTTGTGTTCATTATTATCATGTCATAGCTATACGATCATTTCAAGGTTCAGATATTGGCCCCAAAAGCAATTAAAAAAAGGTGGGGGAGCTGATTTGTTCACTTAGGACCTGGCTCAGAGTAGGAGCTCAATACTTATTAATTGAATCAGTTGAACAAGTGAATGAATATAGCTGAATTATCAAGTCCAACAAACTGCCTCTAATCAAGCTAAGCAATTAATCCTGAACAGGAAATCTGGAATTAGTATTTTGAAGGGTTTTCAAAACCTGTCACCTTCTGCATGAGGGAATTTTCCCTTGGGTTAACTTTTGAGATCTGTTTCCCTTGACATTTGGTATAGATGGAATGTAAGTTGTGTTACTAAGAAAACTGATTATGGTAAAAGGGACTCCTGATAGGCAAGTTGCATCTAAACTCAGCGATTTTGGGGAATCCCTGAATTGGATGACTCTTCTACTTGTACATATTCCTTGTGGAGGCCATGGACGCTGATCTGTGGAGATTTACATGACATCTTGGCTCCTGTGGGGCACGAAACTACTAAGCTAAGATAGATCTCATACCTAATGGTAAGGGTCTTATGTTTTTGCACCTAATCTTTTGCCTGGTTGCGGTGGGGGCGGGGGCGGGACAAAGAAGTATGGCTTTTGGACTGCTGCACAGACTGCTCTAAGGACTGATTCCACTGAAGAGAAATGTCTGATGCTGTCCTACTTCAAGCTGTGTTTCCTATCTTATATCCTTCTAGGTGAGTGTGATGACAAGTAGCCTATGCTCGTCTCATGAATATAAATGTCTAAGAGAGCTTCAGAAGACTCCTGCCGGACACTGCTGACTGGAACATAAACACTCATCTAGTCCACTGCCTCCTGGGGTTCCTGAATTCACTTGCCAAGGAGTCACCTGATATTCAAACATTTCCTTGGTTAGCGAATTCACCTGCTGTTAAAGCAGGCCAGTTCATTTTTCAGTAATTCTCAAAAGAATGTGTGTCTAACACAGCGGTTTCAAGTACTAAGGCAAGGAGAGTTTTAATATGGAAATGCTTCTCCAGTGACATGAATTAACTGACCATTGTCTCAGCCTCTAAATTAGGCTAACTCAGAATCAAGGGCTTTGACTTGATCTGATTTGTTAGTTCCTCTATTCCTTGCCTTTTTTTTTTTTAATTCCTTGCTTTAAGGCAACATTATGAAAAAATATAAAAGTTTCTGTCCTTAACTAATTCTAAATAAAAAGGTATTGGGAGGACTTACCATGCATAAGAAATTTAGCTTCCAAAATAAATACACAACACATAAAATAGTTACCGTGGGTGGTGAAGTAGGCTCCATATGGAATTTATCTGGAAAAGCTCTGCTTAATGTCAGGTACCTGGCGTGCTGATAATACTGTGATAGAAAAACCAGCTCATGGTTAAAAAAAAATTATTTATCTCAAGAACCAACTTATATAAAATCTTATTCTCCTAGTTATAAAACACATTCTTAAAGTGACAGAACCTATTCACCCTAATTTTAGGAATCAAAAAAAAAAACCTGATAGTTTATAGTTTTATTATTTTCCAAAGAATAAGTAAAAGAAATATTACAAAATTTTGAAGAGAACAGCTATACTGGTCTTACTGAAAGCTCTGAATTGAGTGTTAAGGGGACTGAAAACATTGGCTTCATTCTACAGAGAACCAGTATGACACAGGGAAAAGCTGGGCCCTGAATAAGGGGCCCTATGTTTCTTAGATAAGAAACATAGCTTCTGAGGCCTTTGGGTTGCTCAGTCAGTTGGGCCTCTGTCTTCGGCTCAGGTCATGATCCCAGAGTGCCCAGATGGAGCCCCACATTGGGCTCCCTGCTCAGCGAGTAGCCTGCTTCTCCCTCTGCCCCTCTCCTTGCTTGTGTTCTTTCTCTCTTTCTCACTCAAATAAACAAATAAAATCTTAAAAAAAAGAAACATAACTTTTAAGAGGCTTATCATTCTGTTTTCATTGTAAAATGTAGACGGTGCAGTGAATCACCCAGGGTTGTGATGAGCACTGGCATTAGTGTGTATGGGGACTCGGCAAATGGCAGCATCTATCATTTGTCAAGGAGAGCTTAGTGGCATCTAAGCAGATACATGATCTGAAGGCAAAGTCAATTTATTTTTCATTAAATCATCCAGTCCTAAGATACATGACATCTGGGTATTTACAAACCTGTTGTATAATTGAAAGGAGGTATTTCCTGTATTTGTCATTTGAAAACAATATTATTCCCACTTCCACTATGCTTAAGGAATATGGTCACATTATTGCTTAGGGTCAAACAAAATAAAAATGTTTCTTTAGATGTTTTCCTCATATTCATGAGATAATACCTGAAATGCATCAAGTTAACCACTGACAAAAGACTAACTAGTAATACCCCAGATGGATCTGATAGACTTGCTGCTATAAGCTCAAACTAAATATGAAGATTTGGGTTTAGGATGTTGCCAGCTTGTTTTAAGTAAAATAATACATGAAAACATCACTTGAGAGTTTAACAATTATGCTACAGAGTTGACTTTGCAGTTGATGATTAGAATTTTTATTTTTATAGTCCAGTGAGATAGTTTTTTTTTTTTTTTTTTTAAGTAAGCTCCACACCCAGCACAGATTCCAATGCAGGGCTTGAACTCACAATCCCAAGATCAAGACCTGAGATGAGATCAACAGTCAGGTGCCCAACCATCTGAGCCACCCAAGGGCCCCAGTCTAGTGGGATTTTTTAAGCGGTTCTCTTGATCCCAAACTTAACTTACTCTGCCCAAGTATCTCCAATCCAGAAGATCAGAGAGCCTCTCAGTTCGGTTTCTCTGAATAATTCTTTGGCGGCGTGACTGTTTGCAAAATCCATAGAGAAACTGAGTCAGCTGATTGCAGGAATCATCCGGAGAGCGGAACCTCCTGTCAACAATGTAAATACCTGAGGAGCACAAAAACCAAAGCCCAGGTAAACACAGGGCTAACCTTTGAACGATCTTTCTTCCATTCATTAGGTTCTATCACAGACCACCACACTCATTATCTACTCCCCGACTCCCCTACTGCCTCTGCTTTATCTTTTCCCTTCCAATGCTGTATTTCTTCTGTGATCTTCTACGGGTTTGCAACCGTCACCAACAGACAGGCAATACAATGGATCTTGCAAAGAAATTTGGCAGTAGAGGGAATACCCTGGATCAATGATTCTCCCTAGTACTGCTCATTAACCATAATCTCTAGGGATCAGTGATTTTTAGGCTCCCCAGTTTTCCCACCAATCAGCCCTGGTTGAGAACCACAGCTCTAGCCTGAGGAAAGAGAACCGTGACAAGGAGACTGCAGAAGACCAGGAAATTGGCAATGTGTAGGCAGAGGATCCATCCCATCTCGCTTTTCTTGCTGCTAGGCAACACGGACACAGAGATGGTGGTATGCAAATTCTGCCATCTTAAACAATTTCTAGTGAATTTTGCTAACTTGGCACAGACCTTTAAAATAATGACACTGACCAGTCTATGTACGCTAAGGCCATAGTTACTATAACATCAATATACTTAATATTAATAGCATTTTTATCTTTTCTATGAATCACATAATTAAATCTATTTTCCATTAAACAAGAAGTATAAACATTACTTTAATCATCAGGATAGCTCTAGAGTTAGGCTCCCTAAAGACCCTGTGCTTTGTCAGAGGTTACTTCTCCCTGCGCCGGGTGAATGATGAAAAACCTCACCATACGCAGTAGGATCAGCCACGTGCTCCTGCATGAAACAGCCAAAGCCGGAAAGGTTGGTTGTCACACTGGGGATACCCATCACGGTGCATTCAGCTGCCAGGGGAAACAGATAAAGACTTGGCTTCAGATCAACTCCTATATCCACTTACGCACATAGATGGGGGAGAAGCCCACGTCTGCCTAGTAATAGTGATGTTTATTCAGTATCAGGCACAGTACTAAGGTCTTTACGGGTATTAACTCATTTAATCTCAAAAACTACTTGAAATGAGACTGCCATTATCACCATCTTACAGATGAAGAAACTGAGGCACAGACAGGTTAAATAATTTGCCCAATGTCACCCAGCCAGGGAATGGGGTAGAGGGATTCAAAGCCAGGTGCCTGGCTCCAGGGCTCCTGTTTGGAACGGCTGTTTTATCCTGCCTCTCTCATTCCAGCTGGCTTTGTTTTCTTTTTGCTCCATTCTAAGCTGTGTCTAAGCATGTGGTGAGTTTGTGGGTTTTGGACATGAGCAACTCTTCTCATCATATTAATCTCCCTTGCCACAAATCTCTCCACTTCCCCAAGTGTCCAATGTACCCATACCCTCCCTAGTTTTCTCTCCCCTTCTAGTCAAAACCTGTTTTTCATAAAATAGTGGATATGTTTATTTTAAGAAGTATTACCTTTCACAAGGATGTCTGCATTTTTAACAAGGAATTTATATATGATTATGGAATTAAACTTGGTTGGCTGGTGGAGATGGGTTAAAAAAAGATTTCCCCACTAATCAAGAAATAATGCAGTTTAGACAGTGGCCTTTTCTTCTGCTCTGCAAGTATTGCCTCATGGCTTATCTCTAGAGAGAAGTGGTTTCCTAATTTCTGGAGGGAGTGGTAGAGGAGAAAATGGGACAGGGATTCTTGACCCACATGAGAATCTGATGAAAATCTAGAACTCATCCCCAGAAAAATCTTTATGCATATATGTAGAAAGAATTTTGCCTACGATTCCATGGAATTTAATGGAATAAGTATTTATATTCATTGGATTTTCTCAAAACACAGACTTAAATGAATACTTTCTGGAGTGTGTTAAACTTAGCATCAAATAAAAAGTTATTCTAAAAAAAATTAGAATTATCTAATATGCCAACACCAAACTTAGTCCACCAGAGGTCTTGTTATTTCTGTAACTACAGGTTAGGTGAGGAATAGCCAACTTCCTTTGGTTAATTCAAAACAGAGAATGACTCATTCTCAAACTTCTTTTTCTACCTGCTTATCTTTTATAACACTTTTGCTGGTCTTTATCTTAAAATATTAGATGTATCTCCTCTATCATTTTGGGTTAAGCATTTGGTGGAAAGTCTGCTGTAAGTTAGAGAACATTCTCTTTACCCAACATAATGATTTCCCACATCCTTCAGTCACTCAGGCTTTGGTTTTGTGCTTCTCTATTTTTGAAACTTCCTTGATAATAAATTATGTTACTTACTAGAAATAATAGGAACACAAGTCAATAACAAAATGCTAAGTTCATCCATGAAATATGCATTTTATGTATCTTAAAAGATAGATGCTCAATTATAAACAATTTAAGATAATATGAGGTTATTTCATAAGTAAGAAGACACCATCTTTATAAAAGTGACAACTGATACCCATAACAATTTTTAGAACTACGAAAGAGACAGCTAGAAGAATTAGATCAATAGCTTTTCTTTTCTTTTTTTTTAGATCAATAGCTTTTCTGTGTCATGTTTCAAGAGGAGATAATATTTTACCTATTTTCCCTAGAAGTTTTAATATTTTTACAGTTGCTGGCAAACTATTCTTGGCGGAAACTAGAACAACAGAACAGGACCTTATGTCAAAAGATGCAGCGATTTCATGTTGCTTCTTATGTAAAGATCCTACTTACATAAAATTTTAAATACTATATTAAAATTCTGGGATCAGAATACAAAGATTAGAAAAATTCTTCCTCTTCATATTTCAACAATGATCTCCCTAACCTTGACTACAGCTACCCCTTGGTTGGGCAATGATGACGCTGAGATCAGAAAACAAAATTTATTAATTATGCATAAAAATGTTTTCTGAACATTTTCTTTTAAAATTATAAATGGAATTATATTTAAATAAAAAGGAAAATCTCAAATTACTAATACGAGATGGAAAGATCAATATTATATTCTTTTCACTGGCATTTATTTAAAGTATTTGTTTTTAAATTTTGAAGTATTTGTTTCCTTTTTAGTTAGGCATTTCAGTCCAAATACAAATTGATCACTCTTGATACCAGTGACAGACATACAGAGGGGACAAAAAGAAAATAGGTAGTGCATCTGGGAATCTACCATTGGGGAGAAAAAAAAAAGGCAGATGAAGAGGGGGAGGGTCTGAATGGAATGATGTCAGGGTCACAATACCTGTCACTGAATTGACATTTTATCTTAAAAGTACCTCCTTTTTGAGTGACTATGGTGTGAAGACTTCTCATTGTTTACTTTCTTATACTATTTGTTTCTTTAACTATGTGACTGTGGTACCTATTAAAAATTAAATACATCCATTAATTTTTAAAAATTATCATAAGTTTTAGAGAACACTGTTGCTGGACCACTGTTTCTCATCTTAAACGTACCTGCACTCAATTTCTCCTTTATATGAATAGTTGGGACTCAGAGAGATAACTCAATAATATGTACCTTTTATAACACATTTTTTTCTTATAATACAATATATTATTATAATTTAACTTTAGTAGAGATTACATATCAACTCTGAATATTATATCCATGTGCATAAAATAATAGATTACTAAGATTTAAAACATTCCATAATCTATACATGCCACATACCTGGGGTATAGCCCCATGGTTCATAGTAAGATGGAAATACTCCAAGATGGCAACCTCGGACAAACTCTTCATAATCCATGGGTAGTAAGGGACTGGTGGAGGATAGAAACTCTGGGTGCAAAATCACCTAAAAAAGGAGAATTCTAATGAGCAAAAAAAGAAGAGAAGAAAATAAAGCAAAAAATCTCCTACGGTTCGGTATTTTGACATGTAAAATCCTTGTGTTCTACATTCAGGGAAAAAGAGAGAGGAGAAAAAAAGAAAAAGAGATAAGCTTGGGTGTTTTTTTCCTCTCTCTCCATTCAGTGTATTATCTACTCTGTGGACTAAGTTTCTCTCAGGTTCCAAGGCCTAGATTGGAGGAAAGGGAGCTAATATGACCATTTTTGTTCCCGTGCTAAGCTACATCCGTCAACCCAAACTGTATTGACAATAAGGTATTTTTTTTAAAGATTTTATTTTTAAAGTAACTGCTACACCCAACATGGGGCTCAAACTCACCACCCTGAGATCAAGAGTCACATGCTCTCGGGGCACCTGAGTGGCTCAGTTGGTTAAGTGCCTGCCTTCGGCTCAGGTCATGGTCCCAGGATCCTGGGATGGAGCTCTGCATCAAGCTGCCTGACCAGTAGGGAGTCAGCTTCTCCCTCTGCCTGCTGCTCTCCCTGCTTATGTGCAAGGTCTCTCTCTGTGTCAAATAAATAAATAAATCTTAAAAAAAAAAAAAAAGTCACACACCGTACCAAGGGAGTCAACCAGTCACTGCAACACAAAAAAGGTTTATTTTGTTTCCTAATGGCTGACTGCTGTCTTTTTTTATCAATTTGCTCCTATCTGGAGCAGAAAAGAGGGCAGCTTTGTAATATAATAGACTGCCCTCTATTGCGCCAGACACAAGGTAGCCCAGGGAAATGGAACTAAGGGACAGAGATGTACTAGGAATCTCATCTAGATTAGATCAGACTAGAAGCCTTCACCAAAGTCAGCATCCTCTCTCACCCGGAGGTAATCACCTCCTAACCTGTCTCCCTGCTTCTATTCTGCCAAGGTCTCTACTCAGTACAATTAGAGTGACCATTCAACAGTGCCAGGCACTCCCTGCTCAAAATCCTTCAGCGGCTTCCCATTGCACTCAGAGTGAAAGCCAAAGTATTTATCATGACTTTTAAGCAATGGTGTTCTGGTACATGCTTAAGAAGAAAAACCCAAAATATAAGTGTATATTTGTACATAAGTTTACTATACATTTTATTGATATAGAGAAAGTATAGCAGACAATATCCAAATAGTAAAAAATGTATGCACAAAAACTTGTACACAGATGTTTGTATCAGCTCTATTAATAATTGATAAAACTTGGGAGCAATCAAGATATCCTTTAATAGATGAGTAGATCAATAAACTGTCCAGACAATGGAATATTATTCAGTGCTAAGAAGAAATGGGCTATCAAGCCATGAAAAGACATGGAAAAAATAAAACGTACATGACTAAGTGAAAAGAGCCCATCTGAAAGTCCACACACTGTATGATGCCAGCTATATGGCATTCTGGAAAAGGCAGAACTGTGGGGACAGAAAGAAGATCAGTCTTTGGATGGAGGCAGGATGAATAGGCAGAGCTCAGAGGATTTTTAGGGCAATAAAACTGTTCTGTGTGATTTTGTAATGGTGGATACATGTCATTGTACATGTATAATGTCACAGAAGGTCAAGCACCAAGAGCATAACTTACCGTACACTATGAATCTTGGTGGATAATAATGTGTCAATGTAGGTTCCTCAGTTGTAACAAATATAAGATCCCGGTATGATACATGGACAGTGCAGGATGCTGTATATGTGGGGGGCAGGGGTACCTGGGAACTGTCTATATTTGCTGCTCAGCTTCACTGTGAACCGAAAACTTTTCTAAAGAATGAATTCTATTGAAATATATAAAAACCTCCTTATTAAAAATTGTAGATAGTTAAATGCTCCCAAATGCTTTTGTTGACTTTTGAAAAATCTTGTATTCAGAACCAATTTCTGGTTGCAACTGAGGACTGAATGTAGTTGTGACGTGAATGTCGATCCTTTCAGAAATACATGTCCGAACTTCATAGGTTCATCAGTGACATAGTGACTTCTTTCCCGAGTTAGATATTAGCTTCTGAATATGGGAAAAATATGTCCTTGTATTTTTGTGCCACTCACAATTTTGTGTAATGACTCGAGGCACAACACTTTTAAGTTTAATCTGTATTGTTCATATTCATCTGCCACCTTCTTAAGTCTAGACAATTTACACACAATTAATCAAGGCATGATGTGGAGTGTTCACCTATTTTCACTCTCTAGATACTCCTACTATGGTCGGTTTCAAGTTACCAATGTGATGTCTGAACTAGAGATGGGGAAAGCAGGAGCTCACCGTTATAGAATATTCCCACCATGTGGGTATAATAGCCATACATAACTTTAAATGTAGAGATCGTCGTAAAATATAGAATTAACAATTAGGACGTGATGAGTTTTGAGCATTACCTTTCATTTTAATATAGTTGATTTATATTTTTAAGTTGCTACAATTTAATTTTAAAAAATGGCTATTTTAAAAACTGGCTCATAAAATTTCTGAGCTCTCATGTGCTGGTATGAGCCAGTACTGAGACTACATTGCCTGTAATGTTATTCAAAGACAGAGACAAGAGAGAGAGTGACTATCATTGGAAGGCTGTAGAACAGCTACTTAACTGGTCACGTGGATGAAAGAATTCTCCAATTTCTCCTATTTATTGAAGTTTTTCTTGAACCATTATTAGGTAATTTGTCAGCCTCTCCTCATAGTTAAGTAGTTATTAAAAATCAATAAAATCTGATTTAAAAGCATTGTATATACTATGTATATATGTAGTATATACAATATACAATGTAGTATTTATATTGTACACATATAAATAATATATGCCATATACAAAATACATAATATATGATATATATTATACATGTATACTGTATATATATGTTATAATATATGACACAATATTATATAGTATTTGCCATATAATATACACATAAATATATATTATTAAATTATATATATACATAATATAACATATATAATATAATAAAAGAATAACTATATTTTTCCTAAGAGATTACCGTGAAGAAAAACCCTAATTTGGATATATAACAACAATGATAACAGTTATATGATACTTTATATATTATAAATAATGTTCTCATATATTATTTCATTTAATCCTAGCAACATCATGATATTCTCATTACTCTAATTTTAGAAATATATTATAAAGAAATTATATACATTAGTTACATGTCAGGAGACCCACAAATGGGACCTAGGTTAAACTTAAGCAGTAAAATGGTAAAATATCCAAAACTAGTATCTAAAAATGATAGTTCACTCAATCACAAGAATCACAAATCCCAAAGTAAAAATAGATAAAATATTTTCCTCCATAAAACACGATTTGAGTTCTTATTATCACGTGCAAAGTACTGAACGAGGAAAAGAGACAAAGGCACAGACAATCATCAAATCAGCAGCCCACTATATCCCTGGCAGATATCAGCAAACAGGGATTCAAAATTCTTTGTGCCTATGTTGGCTTTTCCAAGCCTGAGAAAATTTGTACTCTCCAAAGCCCATTTTTGAACATGAGAATATCATGGCTCATTCATTTTGTTTCAGTCAAAGAGAACAGCAAAACTAAAATATGAAAGCAGCTGCTCTGGGCCCTGACCAGCCAATGACAGAGGCCCAGGGCGGAGGAAAGGATGTTAGAGGTCAGACCAAGGTTACCGAGAGGATTAGGTGAGATCCTATACACAAAAGTCCCCAGCAAAGCACCTGGCTCACAGCAGACCCTGGATCAGTAAGGGAAAAAAAAAAAAAACAAAAAAAAAACCAAAATGCTGTCTAACCACATTTATCCTGTGAGGGAATTAAGATCCCTGAAAGTTAATTTGCCTTCACAGAGTGCTGGCACCAGGTCAGGACCTGGAGTCTGTGCTGTAGGATTTTCTCACTATGTCCACTGCCAAGGCAGAATTGATGATATATTCAACTTCGAAACAATCTGTAACATTTCCTGGATCAAGTGGTCGCATTCATATAAAGCGCTTGTTAATCTAAGAGTTAAAAACCACTCGATAGAGTTCTGTAAATATGCAGGTGATCAAATGAGTCAGTGTGAAGCTTTTTAAAGGATACTAGTCGTAAATAAAATACATAATTCTGAATTGACCAAGACTTATCTCAGTGCTTGGAGCATATACTGTCGTGAAGGGGCTATTCTTTTATTTCTTGTGCATGCGTTTGCCTTATGATAATAACCAGTGAAAGTCTCAAACGCTTCGTGAGCTTATCTATATAAACATGATTTGTGTGAGACAAACTCTCTTCTCCTTTCACTCTACAGAAGCCATGTGCTTCTGTCTCTGTGCCTTCTTATCTACTGCTGCCGGCTCTCTGCAGGATGAACTGTTATGTGTGTGATAAACGCCTGCTCACCAGACAAGATCTAGCTAACACGTCTCCAATTCTCCAGGCAGAGAGAAATCCTCCATTTTCTACTCTCATCAAACTGTTTACACCTGTCTTCTAAAAGTTATTGAGTACCCAGAACATGCTAGGTACTGGGCTAAGTACAGATAAAAGCTGACACACCACGTGCTGACACTCACCACGTGCCATGGTCTGCACTAATTGCAGCATCTTACTTATTTAAGCCTCACAACAGTTCTTTGAGTGTAGCCTATCTTACCACCATCTTACAGATGAGAAGACTGAGGTAGATTAAGTAAATTTGCAAATTGATTAAGGGTAGGGAGATTTAAAGGCAGACAATGGATCTTGATTGACAGCCCCAACTGCTTCCCCTCTAGAGCAGCTACAGCAGCTGCTCCAGCCTATAGACCTGGCAGGGAGGGGTTCTAGTGCCAGCTAATTTCTGCACAACCAGTGACTCTTTTGAACAACTTTTGTTTGGAAAACCCCTACTCTAATAGGAATCCCTATTAAAGTTGTTGCATGTGATTGCTCATAGAATAAGGCACCCATCTGCCCACCAACTTGAAACTGTTTGGTTGGTGAACGAAACACATGAAAGTAAAACATAAAAGAAAGGTTTAGATACAGGGAAATGATGTATGTAGTAATGCTAATATACTTGAAATAAGTCACAGTAAACCACAACACACACACACACACACACACCCCACACACAGAGGCATCTTTTGTATTAAGAAAGCAAGCATTGGAAAATAATTTGGAATCTATCTTAGCTATAGATTGATTGTACTGTTGAAAATTTTTTTTTTTTTTTGTGCACACAGAAGTGCACATGCTTCTGTGTGTGTGTTTCCTTCCCCTAGCTGACCAGCCATTTAGTGGTCAGCTTTTTCCCTTTGTAAGTCACTACATAGTGCTGCTAGGTATGTATATTTTTCATGCATTTGTTAATTTTTATTGATTCTAGTTTTTGTTAATGACATTTGACTCTCTGTAAAAAAAAAGATTGAGAGGTGTTTAGCACTGGGCTGTAGTCTGTGGGTCTTCCCTCCTCAACCTTCCTTCCTCCTCTTTCCACTGTGTGAACTATCCCTCCCTGCCTGCTTTTGCTTTCAATCTCTATCTTGCACAGGCATTTTTACCAATAAGTGTTTTCACATCTAATCCTGTCTCGGTGTTTGCTTTTCAGAGAATGAATACTGAGAAAATGTATATGAGATATGATCATTGCCTCAAAGAACTTACAGTCTCACTGGAGGAAAGAACATACATATTTAAAAAATACAAATAACTTGATGCGATGATTCCTATATTTGTAGTAGAAATAAAGCATCTTGAGAATCCAGATAAGAAAGCGATTGCTCTGTCTGGAGTAGATGAATGCAAATTAAGGACAAACACAAGGAGGGGATGACTTCTAGTTTGGATCCCAAAGGAGCTATTAGGATGGCTGAGATAAGGGCAGTTCAGAAAGAGAGAATAACATCAGCAAAGACACAGAGGAATGAAGTCTTTAAAGTACTTGGGAAATAATGTACTTGTCCATTCCTGAGAAATGGCTTCACTATTGCTGTACTTTAAAACACACAGACACATACACACACAGATCAGTAAAGCATACTTTGTTCAGAGCTGCCGATTTCAGGAGACCTTCTAAACTCAGTCCTCCCAAAAATAAAGGAAGCATGAACCACAGTCTGGCTCAATGTCCCCTGTTCTGTCTATACTTATTGTACAAATCACATACCAGGCACCTGACAGATCATTAGAGGAAGAGCCGCAGATTTAAATATAGGTGTGACAAAGTTCTGTAAAACAGAAAGCAACAGGAAAATAATAAGCTTTCTTTCCATTACTATTTCCTTTCCAAGAGAAAAAAAAAATTGAGAAGGACTGGTCTAAACTACATGAAAATGAGATCAAATTAGTGCTGATACACTCTGGAGGGAGGTAAGTTTCTGCAGATCCAGTCGTGTGGAAAAATGTGAAGGATGCTGCACCCTTGAGAGATATGTCCCTGCATTTCCAGGGAAAAATGTGTAGCTTGCATATTACAGGATGTGTACTGGGAGTAAAAATTTTGGAAATGCAGAAACACAAATGAGAAAATAAAAGTCACCCATAATTCTATGGCACATGGAAATATACACAAATATGTGTGTATCTATGTATGTACGCATGCGTGTGTGGAGAACATGTTTAAAATGGATGGGATAACACTACATGGGACATTTTATAAACAGACATTTTATAAACAGTATCGGGTGCCTGGGTGGCTCAGTGGGTTAAAACCTCTGCCTTTGGCTCAGGTCATGATCTCAGGGTCCTGGGAATGAGCCCCGCATTGGACTCTCTGCTCAGCAGGGAACTTGCTTCCCCCTCTCTCTCTCTCTGCCTGCCTCTCTCCTAGGTGTAATCTCTCTCTCTCTCTCTCTCTCTCTCTAACATATAAATAAAGTCTTAAAAAAACCCAGCTTGTATCATTTAGTTCTGTACTAGGAGCTATTGCTATCTACCATCACGAAAATTTCCCCTGCCCTGATTTCTGAGATATTTTTCTCTTCTAATTCTTGCTCCTTTCTTGCACTGACTTTTCCTCCTCTAATCTCCTCTTAAATCTTGAGGCTTTCTTGGGTCCACACTTTTCTCTGCTCATTCAGCCTGGTCTTTCAGCATGGCAGGGTCATCATTCCCTGGCATCCCTGCTGCCCCTCCACTGATAGCTCCCTTCATGACTGTCTTATGTTTTCTAAGTACGCATGAAACATCTTAACTTGAATAACTCACATATAACTCACATATAACAATCTACCAAGAACTGAACTCAAATCTGATAAAGCCTTTCCTTAGTTTTTAGATAGTACTGACTAAATACTGAAGCCAGAAGGTTATCATCCTTGCCTTCTCCCTCTTTTTCCCTCCCAATGACCTTTGGTTACAAAGTATGATCTTTTCTATATGCAGCTGCCTCTCCCATTATTCTGTCCTGTCTAGCACTTCTGGCATGACCTTTGTAATGGTCCCTTATCATCTCTTACCTGTTCTGTGGCAGAAGGTCCCTAACTTGTCTCCCTCCACCACATCTACTCATGCCTATACCGAATACTAAATGCAGCAGGAGGAATTAATTTACAAAAAGACTATTTTTTTCCAAGAGATTTTGCAGGGAAGAATAGAAAAGACCAAAACATTCAAAAACATCAAGAGAAGACCAGGTTGAAGCAAAGTTTGTTTGCTTTGTAATGTGAGAAAAAAAATTTAAAGATTTTATTTATTTATTTGAGAGAGAGAGCATGATGAAGTGGGGGAGAGTCAGAGGAAGAAGCAAACTCCCCGCTGAGCAGGGAGCCCAATGCAGGACTTGATTCAGGACTTGATCCTGGAACTCCAGGATCATGACCTGAGCCAAAGGCAGTCGCTTGACCAACTGAGCCACACAGGTGTCCCTGTAATGTGAGAAAATTTAAGGAACATTGGTAGACAGCAAGGGAAGGAGCTAGTAAACCTGCAGTATAAGGGAAGGTTAACAGGGTAAGTTTCCCAAGAATGTCAGAGGGAATGAGATCCTAGAGCAATCTTCAGAACCCAAAGGAAAAGAAGTGAGAATAGGTAAAAGATCTATAATTGAGGGACATTTAAGGAGTTTGTACGCTGAATTCTCAGGTTATCTGCTAAAGGTGAAAGAAAGAAGAAAAAGTGGGACCTTTGAAAAGATTGGTAAAAGCTTGTGACAACCTGATCTTAAATACTGCTGAATGAGATTGAGTAGAGATAAGCAACTGTCTGTTTATATGTTCACCATTATGCCCACACCTAGCACTGTGCCTGAGCATAGTACCCCCTCAGTACACACCTGAGAGACTAAGCTCAACAGGAGCAGAAATCAGGTCTCATTCATACAACTCACACTGTGCTTAATCATTTAGAAACTCAAGTGTCAACAGAGTGAGTTGGTCTATAGAAAATTCCATAAAAATATCATGAGCCACACTCTCTGAAACTGGAAGCTTCTCATATTATCACCTTAAAGTTGAACTTTATTAAGAAGAAACAAAGAAAATTCATTTTCATTTCAAGGATTCACTAAATTCTTAGTGAATCTAAAAAACAATTCTTAGAATATGTTTGTATCATTAAAAATTAAACAAATTTCCTATTCTTACTGTTGATATTGTATAATCTTACAAATGATACTAAAATAGTCATTATCTTTTATATTTTAATTACCCAAAACAGGAAACAGAATTAATTTTTTTTTTAGAAATATCATTTGAAATCTTTCTGAAAGGTATCAAAACAAATACAGGAGTCTTCTGATAAATTCTGAAAAAGTATATTCTAAGTCATTTTGAAGTGCCTTACGTAAACAATTAGTTCTACCTTGACTCTGTCTGTGCGGCTGTTGAAAAGTCCGATCCGTCTAATGGTGCTGAGGATGGGATCAGTGGAGTCATCAATCATGTTGTGAGTGGTCACTGGAGGCAAAGACTGTCGCTGAAGTCATAGAGGAAAGAAAATGTCAATTGTGGGACGAATTAATAAGTGTGACTAATTTCAACGATAGGTCATTGGCAACGTATCATCCAACCTTCATGCCCTCTATCTTTTGGAGACATTAATGATGATGACTAAGTTTTGTGCAGGTTTCAGAGGAAGGCAAAGGCTTGAAGAACTTCCTTCAGGAATTATGAACACATGATACTTGTTTCTCACCTGCAGCCACTACAGGAAAGGCCTAGACTTCTTGACCACTCTTAAGACCTGTTTGGAATGAAGGCGTCCTGAAGTTGTGACTCAAGATGAACTCCTTTCCTGGATCCTTCTAGCAGGCCTGTCCTCTGATGGTACCTGATGCCTTACTGTTAGGACAAGATGTTGGTGCATTCCTATCTTCCATTTTTACAAAAAGTCCTCTCAGCTGAGAAACATTCACCTTTTCTTGATCATGATATAAAATGCCATGCTTTTCAAAGATTTTAGGGACTATTTTGTTGTCGTTGCAATATACAATTGCAATTGTATATCCAATTGCAATTGCAAATCCAATTTCAAATGGACATATTGGTTCCAAAGGAATTTTTAAGTGGATACAAGATAAATTCCATGAAATTTTTTAAAAGAGCACTGAAAAGCACCCAAAAAAGAAAATAAGTAAAGTTGCCATTTAGGTAAATGCATAAGAAAGACTTTTCTAGTTCTCAGGTTTATATATTTCCTAAACTAGTCCATTCCAATAAGTTAAAATATTGATCTAAATTGATTTTAACAATCTTGGGAGTGTTGGTCACTCTTTTCTTCATTACCTGAGTTGAGAAGATGGCTCTTTTCATAATTGTTACATCATCTCGATCCAAAATATTGTTCATGTCAGGAATTTCTCCTCTGTGGGCCAAAATAATATTAATAAGAAAAATAAAAATAACTGGCACAAATTCAATGTCTCCATGAGTCAGATAGTATTCTAAGCACTTTAAAAATAAATATAAAGCAAACATGGTTTCCTGATGACACTCAAAGGCATGAAGAAGTTTGATAAAAGAATAATTTTGATAGCATAGAAGAAAGTTAAAATTCCTTTTTAAAATTTTTTTAATTGTAACTTCTTTTTTAAAAAGATTTTATTTATTTATTTGACAGAGATTGATAGTGAGAACAGGATCACAAGCAGGGGGTGGAGTGGGAGAGGAAAAGCAGGCAGGACTCTGGGATCATGACCTGAGCCAAAGGCCACTGCTTAAGGACTGAGCCACCCAGATGTCCCTTAAAACTCATTTTTAAAGCATTAATGTTGACCATCAGGAGGACACTTTCATCATATTTGGCTACTCTTGAGTATGTTCACAAGTGGCCATACCTGTCCATCTATAATTTGATATTTTTACTGGTAAAAGGAAATGATGCATGCCTTGCCACAATCAGTCAGGAGACAACCAGCTTTCTCTTCATATTCTAATAAAATTCATATATTTTATATATATTATTATTTTATAATATATTTTGATTTGATTTAATTATTTAGAATTTTTAATACTTTTATATATTTCGTTTATTTTATTATGTATTTGAATGTTAATTATTCATTAAGTAAATATAGGTTACTTAACATTACTTAATATAAACTTAACATAAACTTAGTATATAAATAAATATAGGTATTTAATATATAAAGTCAATATATATTTTGACTTATAAGTTTCATGAAATCTCCATCAGTTTCACATTGACATATTAACCCCTAATGAGAGTCCCATTGAATTAGAACCTAATTTGTCTATGTGAATATGTTCACATTTGTACAACCTGTTTATAAGTATTTGTCAGATGATGGGTAAAATAAAACCCATTCCCATAATATAATACATATTCAAAGGCTAATAATTCCTTTATATTTGGAACAAAAGAAATACATGATAGTGTATAAGTTGTTAAATTTGAATAATGAAGCCCTAACATATTTGAAGTATTAAGTAGTCTCAGTACCTACCTTAACAATGCATCATAGAGTTTTTTTCCAAAATTTTCCTTCACAGAATGTGCAATGTCCCTGTATAAATTGGAAGATTTATAATTTAAACATTGTTGCAATTTAAAATCTGTTTGTGTGACCATGCTGATGTTTTGTCAGTGTGTCCTTCAAAATTAACAGGTTTCTTTTGTGGAACCTCTTCTACTGTTTTTCCCAGTTGCCAATTTAGCTTGAGTTCAGACCTCCAGAGCTGAGGCAGCAGAATGTCCTGAGCAGCCCACAGAGCTTAACATTTTTTTGCCTGATGATACTCAGGCCAGGGTAAAGGGCAGGGTGGGGTAGTGGATGGAAGTATAGATGTAACAAGATGGCAAATTCATTGGTGATTATTGAATGTGGGCTATGGGCATGGAGGGGGTCATTACACTAAATGTCTTTACTTTAGCTTTCATTTTTAAATTTTCACAATAAAATTAAAAATAAATTCAACTTATCTTTAAAGATCTCTACAGAGTTTTTAATCCTTCCATGGTGGCTCATTCCAATGTTTTTATAATAACACAGTTTGATAGGCACTACATAATCTGACATAGTAGCCTATGAGAAGAGAACCAAGCAGCACTTGTGCTATAATAATCTTTTTTTTAAGATTTTTTATTTATTCATTTGTGAGAGAGGAAGAGAGCAGAAACAGAGGGGGAGGGTCAGAGGGAGAGGCAGAAGTAGACTCCCTTCTGAGCAGTGACCACCTCTGTGCCCCCACCCAACGTGGAGGGTTGATCCCAGAACCCCAGGATCATGACCTGAGCCAAAGGCAGAAGCTCAACTGACTGAGCCACCCAGGTATCCTTTGTGCTATAATAATGTTTTCTTTTTAATATTTTATTTATTTATTTGACAGAGAGAGAGCATGAGAGAGGGAACACAAGCACAGGGAGTAGGAGAGGGAGAACCAGGCTTCCTGCAGAGCAGGGAGCCCGATGCTGGGCTTGATCCCAGGACCTTGGGACCATGAGCTGAGCCAAAGGCAGACATTTAACAACTGAGCCACCCAGGTGCCCATGTGTTATAATAATTATATCTTAAAGAAAAAAGTTTAAGGCATATATCAGAAATTACACATGTTAAAAAAGTCTGTTGACACTTATTGCTTGAGAGCGTTTACAAGACATGAGATTACCATAGCTGTTTCCGTACTGCTTGACCTTTCAGCGTTTCCACATTAAAATTATTTGTCTTGGCAGGCATGATGAAAAACACCACCACTGTGACATCACTTTTATGCATCTAGTAGGGGATTAGGAAACACGACAAGTCAACTACCAAAGGTAAAAGAAAACATCAACAGATGGACCTTAAACTTAAAAAAAAAAAATACTGTTTTAAATTATCTTTAAATAAAAACAATACTTATTTATGATTCACAGAGAAATTAAACCCACCTTCCTGAAGCTTTACTCAGAAATAATTAATTTAAATCTGGTTTTTAGTCGTGATCTTTTGATGAACAATTTGAAAATTCATACATAAAATATTTTCCATAAGCAGGTAAAATACATAGCAATTGCTAGTGGTATCACAGTGCTTTTCTGGGGTTAAAAAAAAGGTCAGATGAATGTGAGTTAATGTTACAAAGCCAAAATTAGTTCCTTAAAATTTCAGATTGGAAAATTTATGGGGATTTAGTTTTGTTTCATTCTCTTTTTTCTAGTTTACTCACAATAATTTGCACAAATAGATTACTTACACTTTTCCTTTAAAAGTCTTGCCATAATGCTGCATTTTGTTTTTCTGGTCCTAAAGCACAGGAACAAGCATGTGCCCAGCCCCTCTGGTGGTAGGCAGTGCCAGAGGCTTTAAAAGCTTAACTTAACCCAAGCCTCATAATAACAACAGCTAGCATGCTCTTCATTTTACTAACTGAAAGAGTGGCAGGAGTGTTTCAATAGTTTGAGTTCCTATAACAGATTATTGGCAAAGCTAAGATTCAAACTGTTGTTTTTTGATTCTATACTGTTTTCTTTTCCTCTTCCCTAGCACATCTCAGAAGGAAATGACATACCCAAACAGCTGTGAGAGTGGAAGCATAAACTCACTTAAAATAGTGCACATATGAATGATCATGTGTTCTGGAAATGACTGTCTCCTAAGTGTGGGCACCCATACTTTGTGGCCCCCTCAGAGGTCTGACAGTCTATTAAGATAATCTGTGGAAGTCAGAAACTAGGAAACTCACTCCAGAGTAGCCAACGTGCTATGAAAGAATAAATATACTATATGAGAGAGAATGCTTTCTTTTAATTTCTTCAAGTATTGTAATGATCTTTGATATCTAGAATAGTGATTGGCCTTTTCTTTATACATAAAGATAAGGTGAATGTTTAATAAATGTATAGAAAAATTGATTAATAATATCACTAAACATGATACATGTTTGATATAACTTTGAGCCCATAAAGCTTGTTGAATAGATACATACCAGAAATATTATGGAATAAGATTATTCCGGCCTATTCTAGAATAATGTCTGTGGTCTTCAGTCTTATTTTACAGAGTTGGGTTTTTATTAATGTATTATTTCCTTATTAAGTGGCATCAGTAAATCTGTCAGGATACTTGGTAAGATGTCTGCTCTAAAGCAAAAATAAATCTATGTCCAAGGAAAAAAAATTAACCGGAGAAGAGTACAAGCTCGGGAAAGTTTAGGTTGTCTTGGTATCTCAGTAGGATTGAAATTCTACACTGGTCTCCTATAGCTTACTGTTATTTATTCTATATTTTTACATGACAAAATTAGAATATAAGCCAATAACTTTAATCACTAGCTATTACATGGTACCATTTTGTGTAGCTCCTTCTATTGGTACAGGTTTTATTGCTGGCTTAATTGGGAACCTATATTAAGTTCCACCTTCCTGAACAAAAATTGATGGATTCCACATGGAAGTGGGAACCTCCTTTCCCCTTCTTGTTTCCATGATGTGGGACATCTCCTGGTTTCATAGTTCAAACTCTTACTCTCAGGGAGGACGTGTGGCTGGTGAGTAGGGAGAGAAATAGCATTTGTGTGTGTTTTCCCTGTTGTACAGAAAACAACTGGTTGGTTGCCTGCAGTGTGGTGCAGTTTCCTTTGCAGGCCTTCTTTGGTTGGGGGAACACAGCAATGTGATGAGCTAGCCAGGTCTACCAGCAGGTTCAATATCAGGAAGCCTATGGGTGTCCTTTAAAAAGCCACATCTCCCATTACAGTCTTTATTGGTTTTTAAAATGGTGAATCTTGTTCTCCATTTGCTTGATTTCTTCATATTCATCTCTCAACTGGTTAACTCTTGGGACAGGAGAAGGAATGCTATAATGTCATCTTAAAACAGAACACAATAAGCTCATGGCTCTCTTTAAAAAATACCCGAAAACATAGATAGATACACGAGTGAACAAAGTGGTGATCCCAATATGTAACTTGAAAGGCTGGAGCTGTTCTTAGAATATTGTCATTTTAAGTATTCACAATCATATATCTGTTAGAAACTTCTTAAGAAGCCAGAAAGTTCTGTACTTCCCACAGAAGGAAGTCCTTCTGTAAAAGTATTACACAGAGTTCTATAGCATTCTTACCCTCAGCAGAAAATTTAGCCTGGATAAGGCTTCTAGGAAGATGTCAGCTCCTTTGTTTGAAAACTCATATCTCCCAGCAATGAAAAGGAACAAAGTCTTTTCAAGATCGAAGTCCAGATGACTAAAACAAAACAAAACAGTTTCAAATGAAATAAGGCAACGGCAACAAAATGTACAAACGAATTCTGTTAAAGTTCAAAGGGGGCTGGGAAAGATAAACATTTACTATAACAATTTTGTTTTCTCTATGCCATAGGTTTTTTTTTTTTAATAAAAAAGAGCATACCCGTAGAAATGACCTCGAACAAAATCTTGGATCCTAGCCTTGTACAGGGCATGTAGATTTTGAAACTCATGCACTGCTGAAAATTTCTTAACATTTAAGCCATTTGGAGTAACTACGTCTGGAAAAGCAAAAAAAAAAAAAAATCATCACAGAAATCTTTTGAGAGAGGGTACCATTGTAGCAAAATAGTGTGCTTTAATATGTTAAATTTAAAAATTAATTAATTAATTAATTAACTAGTTTAGATGTTCCTTAACATTTCTAGTTTCTATCATACAACTAAAAATTCATAAAACATCAGAATAAGCTGCTGAAATAGGAAATTAGGGGTGTGTGACCAAAATAACATTAACTAGGACAACAAAACATCTAATTAAAAGCACAAATAATGAGTACTATAGTTTTCATTTTTTGGTGGCTTACTATTGCTCTAAATGCTCAAAATGCTTTAAAATATAACTCATCTAATCCTTACAAGAAGCAATGGGGTAGGTGTTCTTATCTGCATTTTCAGATGCCCAAACAGGCCCAGAGCTGTTAAGGAATCTGTCAGAGAACACAAATACCAGTAGGAGTAGAATCCATGCAGTCTGCCTCAACATGTTGTGTCTCTGGCCATGGTGTGCATGAAACTACATCCTAGTATCTTGTTTGGCCAAGTGTGTGGGAAATGTTCTATCTGGAAAATTGGAAAGGCAGTCCTTTATTTCTAATTCCCAGAAGATTTTACTCAAGCAGGAAGACATTTTTGGTTTTCCAGAATAATCAGCCTGTGACAAGAAAGATAGAGACTCCTCAGGGTACAAGATGGGAACTACCTAGTGACTTGAATACACAGGTTGCTGCAAAAACAAATGAAATTCAAAAAAAGAAGCTATGTCAAAAAAAAATTTAAGACATGGCAATGGGCATTTTTGCAATGGAGATTTGAGCTAGAATTATAAGTGTGCCATCATTTAGAAGGATATTTTAGAGTTAACAAGCTATCTTTTGAAATGGTTCCAGAAAATCAACCCAGGCTTCCTGGTCATAGCAATAGTAAACTGCCAATTCTTCTGATTTTTTACTAAGTAACTGGGCAAATTCTATACTCCACAGCAGAGTCAATTTTAGGTTGCCAAAGTTTCTAGTGAAAACCCTCCTGTGAATAATTCCTATAGGACAGTAGACAATCCCCTCTTACAGTGTATTTCCCTTTCCATAACATTATATAGTGCTTTGTTCTAGACTCTAGTGTATTTGACAAATATTAGCTTCGTTTTTATAAAATCATATAAAGTAACTTATTTTGTTATCCACGTTTTATAGGAGAAGAATCTAACCTAGAGAGAGGTTAAGTTACTTGCCCAAGATCAAGTAATTACAAAGTCACAGAGGTAGGATTCAAAACCACGGCAGCCTGGAGGCACCTGGATGGCTCAGTTGGCTAAACTTTGGACTCTTAATTTCCCTCGGGTCTAGAACTCAAGGTCATGAGATCAAGCACTGTGTCAGATTCCATGCTCAGCTCAGAGTTGACTTGAGAGTCTCTCTCTCCTTCTACTGCTCCCCACACCCCATGTACTCTCTCTCTAAAATAAATAAATAAATCTTTAAAATAAATTAAAATAAAACTAAGGCAGTCTGGCTCTGAGGTCTACACTTTTATCCACTGTGAAAATCAGCTGTCTTGTCCAAAAAGGTATAGAAGCCAAGAATGTATATTAATATCACTTTATTATGACTTTAATTCCTCTGGAACTTTTCCAGTGTTTCACAAACGAAGTTGTATTTGGAAGCAGGAGGAAAGATAAGATTGTGTGGACATTCGATAAAAGATCAGCCTCAAGAGAAAGTTTTATTTTAGAATAGGAAAAAAAAACAAAGCATTTTGTAAGCACAGAAAAGATACTGTAGACAAGAAACAAGAAGGATGCAAGAAAGAAATAGCATATTGATGGAGTTAACTTCTGTAAGGGGCATGACAGTGAGAATCCAAGTGAACCCTAGGGAGTACTTGGAAAGACAAAAGGAGAACATAGAACCTGTATGCTGTCATTATTCAAATTTTTTGGATTCTTCTTTAAAAAAAAAAAAAATATCTAGCACCTTGAAATACCTCCTCCAGACATCCAACTAGTATCTGGAAGAAAGGCAAATAGAGACAAGATCACAAGGATTAAAGAAAGAGGATATACTCATTAGAACTGTTTGGTAACAAATAATAGACCCAGTGTTAACACTGGGTAACTAGATACTAACTCTGGCTTACCTACAATAATGAGGAATTTGTTCATGGGATGCTCGAGTGCCTCATGGCAAAGGTTTACCTAGGCTTCCGGAATTAGTTTAAACCATTAGTTTAAATCACTGTGGAGAAATCTAGAGCCCTCTCAGTCTGTTTTTGTTTTTCATTGTATTTCATTGGAGTTTAGCCTTCTTTTCGTTTTCAATTTTAAAAAGATTTTATTTATTTATTTGAGAAAGTGTGTGTGTGTGTGTGCGTGCGCGTGTGCGTGTGTGTGTGCGCACACGTGTGTGCGGGGGAGGGGCAGGGGAAGAGAGGGAGAAAGAATTTCAAGCAGACTTCCCGCTGAGCAGGGACCACCCCCCCCAACCACCCACTGGGAGATTTCACCACACTGAGATCATGACTTGAGATGAAATTAAGAGTAGGGAACTTAAAAAAAAAAAAAAAAGTAAGGAACTTAACTGACTGAGATACCCAGGTGACCCTAGTTTAGCCTTCTTTGCATCCCATGCAACATAAAAGAAAAATGAACACTGCCAACAGCTGCAAAGCTGACACACCTATCCTTCAAGAGTGCCTCCCTGCGGACTCATCTGCTTGGACTCCCTCCTGTGGGAACATTCTTATTGGCTGGTTTATGCTGCGTATCTACCTCTGGACCAATCAGCTTTGGCCAGGTGACAGGGTCATGTTTTATGAACAGGCCTCTTGGCATTGCAACCTCTAGATGGGTCTGGGGATAGTTCCCAGAAATGCTTTCAAGGTCTTGGGAGGAGTAAAACAATAGGTTGGTACTAAACAGGACCAATGAAGCAATGTCATAAGATGTAGGACTGGGAGAGTCTCATAGAAATTTCTAATATTTTCTGAACTTTCATTTCCTTCAAATAGAAAAGTTACCTTGCTTACACACACCAGGTCACTTGTGACAACCGTAGGGCATAGGCCCACTTCTAGGATAGCCCATTTATTCAACAAGCACAGATTGAATACTACTGTGTTCTGGATATAGCTTAGAATTGGTGTTACTACAGAACTACTGACATTGACAATTAAAACGTGTAAAGATTTGGGTAGTAAGAGTGAATGCAATTTTTCCTCTATTATTTTATGCTTTTTGTTTGTTTGTTTCAAACAAGACCTTGAGACTCTAATGTCATTTAGGACTGAAAGGCAGGTGACAAACTCAGAGATAATTACCAGGCTTCCTCTTCAGCATATGTTCAGCTTCTATTGCTGTTATTTCCGATACCGTGGTGAACACATGAGCACAATGGACAGAGGCCCGCTCCACGCAATACCGGTGGTAAATCTGCCTTTCCCCAGCCTCTTTGTCTATGTTAAACTGTGAAAGAAAGAAAGAAAAGAAAGAAAGAAGAAAAGAAAAAGCAAAAGCACATATACATTTGATATACATTTTCTCATACAATTGACCCTTGACCAACACAGGGTTAGGGGCACTAAACTTCAGAAATCTGCATTTAACTTTTGACTCCCCCAACACTTAACTACTAATAGTCTACTGTTGACAGAAGGCTTACCAATGACAAAAACAGTTGATTGACACATATTTTATATGTTACATATATTATATACTGTATTTTTATAATAAAGTAAACTAGAAAAAAGAAAATGCTAGTAAGAAAATCATAAGGAAGAGAAAACATTTACTGGACTGTACAATATTTTAAAAAAATCCAGGTACAAGTGGACCCACGCAGTTCAAACCCGTGTTGTTCAAGGATCAACTGTACTGATCCTTCTATATAAGCAAAACAAAATCATATATTGTTTTTTCTCAAGGCTATGTAAAGTCTTAGGACCACAATAAAGTAATGATAACTTTTTATTAAACCTATTACTAAAATGCACAGACACTCATGCTTTAAAAAGTATTGTTCAGGGACACCTGGGTGGTTCAGTCGGTCAAGCACCTGCTTTTAGCTTAGGTCATGATCCCAGGGTTTTGGGATCAAGTCCCACATCGTGCTCCCTGCTCAACAGGGAATCTGCTTCTCCCTTTGCCTGCTGCTCCCTTTCTTGTACTCCCACTCTCTCTCTCCCACTCTCTCTGGCAGATAAACAAGATCTTAAAAAAAAAACTACTGTTCACTTCATTTCTGCTTCTAAACTGCTATTTAATCCCCTAAGTAAAGATTTCTACTTTGCTATTATTACTAGAATTCATAATTGTTTGGTATTTTAATTATATTTACTTACCTTACATATTATAAATATTGAACTAATTCCTTTCACCGTGGTCTTTATCATATTTCCCCCATAAACAAAGAAAACTGACATTAGCCTCAACACTGAAAATAAGGACAATCATTATCACCCCTAATTCACTGAAAAGATATCCAACAAAGAGAAGATACAAATGCTTTTCTAGGGTTGTATAACTCTCACAACTGTATCATTTCAAGGGGATGTACAGTTACTTTAATTGGATGGTATGTTAGATTATGCAATCATCCTTTATTCTGGGCATCTTAACTTTAAAAAAAAACCTTTAAAAACCAACATACCAAGCACCAAACAATTAATTAAATAGTTGAAAGCAGTTGTGAGCTTTTGCCATTTTGCTCAGTTGCTGAACGTTATTATGTCTCACATAGCTGCAAATGAAACTAACAGTGTTTGAGAGAGAAAAACATATAAAGTTTTTGGCATTATATTAGCAGGTGCTTTTCATAATGAAAAACATTATGCATTGGGCTCTTTTCTAAGCAAGTATCGTATTTAACCCTCATTAACCACTGAGGTTTGTTTTTTGTCCTCTATTCATGGAGGGAAAATTGAAGCTTGCAGAGGTTAGGACACCTGCACAAGATCACATTCTCATTAACTGTCTTAGCAGAGCCCTGAAATGATCCCAAATCAGTCTGACTCCAAACCTGTGCACTCTGCTGCTTTTATACTGCTTAGACTCCAGCTCGACCAGCAAGTCAGGCCCAACAATTACTGAGCTATATAGAAGAAAGTACTGAAAAAGACTCACTAGGTGATTCTAAAGATTGCAACAAAGAAAGTCCTAGAGCATTCTTTCTTGACTGTAATATTTGTAATATTTCTCTGAAAATGTTTGAAGAATGGCTCTATACGGCATCCTTTAATCAGCCGATGTTTTCCGAAAAGCTCTATTTGGCTGGTGTCTTTTATTCAACCACATCTCTCATCCAACCAACACTTGTTGAGTAATTTATTGTTTCTGTGGCCTTCAAAGAGCTTATAAATTAGTGAGAATACAGGTTAAAGTTAGGCAGAAATGAGTAAGTGCCTGAGGAAGGTGTAGGATCAGAGTGGGACTGATTCTCTCTGGAGAGAATAGAGAAACTTCTCTCATGCTATGTAAGTGTTTGCATTGTCAGCATCACCTCTGGAGTGTAAGATTTTCAAGGGCAAGGACCAGGACTTATTAATCTTTGTACCTCCAAACTGACTGGATGAATAAAATGGCATTTGGACTGGGACATGAAAGTTTAATTTGGGGAAAGTTTATTTGGATTAAAAAATTAGCTGCCTTGGGGCGCCTGGGTAGCTCAGTGGTTAAAGCCTCTGCCTTCAGCTCAGGTCATGATCTCAGGGTCCTGGGATCGAGTCCCGCATCGGGCTCTCTGCTCAGCAGGGAGCCTGCCTCCTCCTCCTGTCTCTCTCTGTCTGCCTCTCTGCCTACTTGTGATCTGTCTGTCAAATAAAAAAAAAAAATAAAAAAAAAATAGCTGCCCTAAGGAACATGTATATTAAGTCACATAGCATGTGCAGAAAATTATACCTGATGAGACTACAGCATTGGGTATAGGATGTAGGAGACATGATAAGATGACAGACAAGCTAGAAAGTTAGCCTTTGTCTTGTATACAAGGGAAAGCACTGAAAGGGTTCGTTTAAACATATAATACAGACAGCCTATGCTTAGGAACACTAGCTCTGGAAAAAGTATGAAATTTTTCCTATGTTATGGAGCTTTTATGAAGATGAAAAGAGATAACACACGTCAAATGGTTAGAAAAGCACCTGGCCCCGTAACTTTAGCTATCATTACTACTATTGCTGTTGTTGTTATTGTGGAGAGGAATAAGATTTCATATGTGGGATGGCATTTAACATATGGACATCTAGGGATAAGAAGCTGGGGTTTCTAAATGAGAAAACCAAGTATGCAGATATATAAGGGGAGGACAGCAGAGGCCTGGAGAACCCGAGAAAAGTCCCCATAAAGACAGGCATATGCCTTTTCCTGGTCCTATGGGGCCCCTTACCTCCCAGGCCTGCCATATACATGGCCAAACCTGTGGTTTACAGCAACCCTGGTATTTATACATATTGTCCACTTTCCCACATTTTCATGATAGTCTGTTAAAATCTCTGTGTGGGGGATGCCTTTGGCTCATGTCAAGATCCCAGGGTCCTGGCTCAGTGGGGAGTCTGCTTCTCCCTCTCCCTCTGCCCCTCCCCACACCGTTCATGTGCTCTCTTTCTCTCCTCCAAATGAATAACTAAAATCTTAAAAAAAAAAAAAACCACTATAAAATCTCTGCCCAGTAATTCCAACATTTAGGACATATCTGGTCCTGGTTATTTTGACAAAAAATCTTACTTTCCTATATTTTCATGTATCTCATTACTTTTTGTTGAATTCAGGAAAATGTGTACAAAAGAACAAAAAATGAGGCAAAGTATATATTAGTCAATAAAGCACAATCCAGTGACACAGGAGGATTACTCTATGGCCAAAGGTGATGAGCTCAAAACTTGGTCAGATAAAAGAGTTAAACCCATCAAGCAACTGTCTGTGGGTTCTTTCACAGTTTTTTCATCCCTTACATTTCCACCCAGGAAAGCCTGATGCCATCAAGGAAAGAGAGGCCAAAGCATAAGAAAGTCAATGGCCCTTTTTTTTTTTTTTTTTTTTTTTAAGCTATAGTTATGTAGCCATGATAGCTGAGGGGGAAAATCAGTCAATGTCTGGACTCATAGAATGAATTTGCAAATATCTTCTTGGAGGGGTGCCTGGGTGACTCGATCAAGGGTCCAACTGTTGGTTATGGCCCAGGTCAGGATCTCGGTGTTGTGGAACCAAGCCCTGTGTGAAGCCCCACGTGGAGCCCTGCTATGAGCTCTTCATTAGGCTCCTCACTCAGCAGAGACCTGGCTTCCCCCTGCCCTTCCCCCTGCTCACATGTTCTCTCTCCCACCCAAATAAATAAATAAATAAATAAATAAAATTTTTTTAAAAGTATCTTCTTGGAGAGTCTCAGAAGATTCATATGCTGGTTGAAAATGCTTGAAATTCTATTTTAGTTAACAAATTTAACTAAGAACTTAAACCAACATCAAAGTCCTGTGAATTGGCTATTCAGAAAACACATTTTCACATTTTCAGTAGTATTTGGGTAAATACTACTCTTTCTACTCTTTCTGTGTTTATAAAGTTGGGTACCCAAGAACTCGTTCTTGTTCCTATTCTTCCCCCAGGTTTATTTGCCGGAGCCCAAGCATACTGCAGCTGATTCTGGGTCTTGCATCAAAGACTAAATTATGACTCATCTCTTCTGTTGAACTTTTAAAAGCATTTCATGCATATAACTCATTGTCATTATATAACATCCAGATTCTAAACCTGCTGTGATCATGGGGTGGGGGGGTATGCTGTAGAAAATGATCATGGGGGCTTTTTCTGTGAAAAATGATTATGAGTTTCACTCAAAATATAGTTCCTAACTACATTTGATCCACTAGTCTCCCTGCTGGGCAGGATATTTTACTAGCAAGGTGGACTAGGGCTGATTAAGCTCATATATTTCAACCAGAGAAGAGCTTTAAGTTGGGGAGATACATTGTGAAGATAGTAAGGTATAAATATTTGAAGATAGTACATTGTAAATACCGACCTTTGAGCCAAAGGATAAAACTGTTATATGTAACTAGACACTATAATCATTTGTTATTTATTTATTTGACAGAGAGAGAGATCACAAGCAGGCAGAGAGGCAGGCAGAGAGAGAGGGAGAAGCAGGCTCCCCACAGAGCAGAGAGCCCAATGCAGGGCTCGATCCCAGGACCCTGAGATCATGACCTGAGCCGAAGGCAGAGGCTTAACCCACTGAGCCACCCAGGCACCCCGATCATTTGTTATTTAAAAACAGCTAATAATATCTGATGAATTTTATTAGTTGTTTTTATTCATTGTTACCATATAATGGTCTTAGGTATTCTGAAGTGAAATATTTGATGTGCCTCTCCAATATTTTCTCTTTCACAAAAAATCAAAGTCTGCTCTTTTCTGGGAAACAAAGTTGATGAGCCTATCACAGATCACTGGTTTGGCCTTATTAGTTTACCATTATCATACACCGTTAGGAAATTTCCCTGATCTGATTTCTGAATTCCTTGGTGACTTTATTTTAAATGTACATCTTATGTTTACAATTTGACATTTAGGTTAGGCTGACCTTTTTACAGGAAAGCTCTCTTTAGGACCACACACTACTTTGCAAATGTTGAAGTTTGTTAGAAAGAACTTTCTTTCACTCAAAGGGTCTTCGGGATAGTAGGACCTCTTTCCACTATTATTATCTAAGTGTTCATGTTTTACAAACACACACACACAGTCATACATGCATATTTTCTGTTTCTAGAATCCTAGCACTTTTTTTAAACTGGGAAATTCTTTGGAAATCAACTTTCCAACTTCCTCATTTTTCTGATAGTAAATGGAACCCTCAAATGCTAAGTTGATTTGATTGTCAGTATAGATACCAAATCTGTAAAACCCTGACTTTCTGGTACTCAAATGCTTTGTTGGTGTTACTGATATTATATAAAAGATATATTTTTATTAATCTGATTTAACTGTCAGCAAAAACACGAAAAAGTCAAAACTGAATGACTTTGGTCATAGAGTTCAGCAGTCTTCTAAGATAAGGAAACCAGACTCTTTGGTCACCAAGGACCCACACCCCTGTTTTAAATAGCTGTCTTATTCGACCCCTACACTGACTCTACCTACACCTCAAAGTTACAGGAGAAATCTGACCATGTTTTCACTTGAAAGAGAGAGGGAGCCCCACAGGGCAAGTTGTATGTCCGGAAGTCTTGGTGTGTAGCTGCCACTCAGGGCGGCGTGTGAACCCAGCTCCACATGATGTTTCCTCAACTTTAGGATACACAGGAGTGCAACCCCCTTCCACCCACCATGCCTCTTTGGATCTTGGGATTTTGGATCGTTTGATGCAAAGTAGACACACATCCGGTCTGTCACCGCTATGCTCTACTGCACTCTGACAAAGTTAAACCACAACAACTCTCTGTCACTTCAGGGGAGGCTTTGTCATGAATATTGATTAGTTAAAAGGGCATTTCTGCCATCTGGCTGGCAGATGAAATGAAAGGATCAATACTTCTCATCCTTCAGCATCAAGGATCAGAAAAGAAAGGTGGTGGGGGTCTGGGGAGAGGGAGAACATTTTACCTTATCAAGATGGTTGTAGAAATCAATGTTTGCTGCACAGAGATACCTCCCAAGCAGCGTGGCGTGAGTGGTAAATATTGTAGCAATGGGAAGTTTCCGAGCTCGAGAAAGGACCAGTCCAGTTCCTGCCTGCCATTCATGGAACTGGGCAATGACATGCTTGCCATCTGCATGATCTGTCACCTACATCAGAAAAGAAGCATTTAGAAAAGTTGTTGGTAAAGCTTGATCTTGATCGTGGCCCACAGGTGAAGGAAAGTTATCATTTGTGCCTGTAAATTTTAGCAAAATCTAAAGAGAGGTAAGCATGAAGTATGTAGATTTAGAAAGCAGAATTATTTTATTGGATTTACAGCATGCTCATAAAGCCCATATACTTGTATGGCATAATCCTCTCTTTCAGGAAGGAATCAGACTTACTTTTGTAGCTACAGAGGGGCCTCATAGAACAAATGCACAGTAGGTACTCCATAAATATTCATCGAATGGACAAATGAATAATAGCAATAACACCCTTGAAGATATCACTGAGCAGCTGATCAAGGGGGACTACCCTCTTACAAGCTTCTTTTGAAATAAATAATACATACCTTCCTGTTTTAAGTCAGTCTTTTTTGGATCTTCTGTAATTGAAGTCAAAACCACTTGAACTAACATATTATTTTAAGAATATGGAACTGGGAAGAAAGAGGTGAATAACTTGCTTGGAAGCAAATCCTAATTTAGTCACACGCTGAGGACGCAGGTCTAATCTGGGTCTAGTTCTAAACCCAGGCAGGGGGTCAGTTTCCTTGCCTTTAAGTTACCTTGTTTCACCCTTCCAGAAATTTAGTATTTACGTTCCACTCCCCTTACGACAGCTTGTTCTCTCAGTGTGGGAATAGAATTGATCATGCAATAACACGTGCATTCAGGGAGTCTGAGCAGAGAACTGGGAAATCAAGAGTTCACCCAAGAAGGCAGTTCTCACACTTGGAGGACATCAGTGTCACCTGGAACGCTGGTCAAGTAGAGATATCCAGGTCTCATTACCAGGTAATCTAATTCTGGGCTGGGGGCAAGAGTTTGCATGTCTTACAAGTTTGCAGGCGATGCTGCTGCTGGTGGTCCATGGAAATACTCTTTGAGAACCACTGACTTAGTCTAGAACCTTTGTAACTTAAAGTACTTGTTCTTCAAAAAGTTTTTCATGGTAATTAACAAGTGCACAGACCAGTAGCAGCCAAGAGGTAACTACAGAAACAGGGCTTGCTCAGGAGCCTTGGGCTGTTAATGTCTTTATTTGCCCTTTGAATCAAAGAAAATGTTTGTTTCTGCAACAGTTTTAATTTAGAGAACACTGGGGCGTTCACTTTCTTGCTTCTCTCCTCTCTAGTTCCCTTTAACAGAAAGGAGAGAGAGTTTGGAGAGACACACACACACACACACACACACACACACACACACACACACACAGAGGCTGGCCTCAGCCCCGAGGTCCCTGGATCAAGGAGGCAGTTTGCATAGGAAGAGTTGGTTCCACCAACTGATGCTACAAGAAGACTACTTATTGTCATTAGGCCAGATCTCTTCAGCACCCTCACTCTGCTCTCCTAATTCTGTCGCCAACACAAAGCAATGGGACTGCCCCTCCACCTTCCCCTTCACTTCAAAGCAGCCTTTCATGACTGCTGGAATAAGACTGCACCCATAAGAAAGGCTGGTCAAGGGGGATGCGCTGCCAACAGTTCTGTGATTTGTCCTCAGACTACACCCCCACTTTGCTAGAAATGCTCTTCCTTCACCGTCTGATGTTTAAGTTAAGTACAATCATTTTGAGGTAATGCAAGGAATGCAAAGAAATCCTCCTTTGAGAACTGATGAGAGTGCGGGCTTGGTTCATTTCACAAGGATAGATATCTAATGCTCTTGGGGTCTTTTGGGGTTTGGGAAAGTTGGTTTTTTGGGGGGGATATTTCACTTCTACAGATCCTTAGCAACTGCTGAGATCACTTCAGCCCTTAGAAAATGATGAAAATACCTAAAAGCCACTATGATTGCCCAAGTATTCATGCATAAACAAAACCAAATATTTCAAGCTATTTTCTACTCCCATAAGTCTAGAATTCAGGTCTTTAGTACATGATATATACAGGTTTTTGCTTGTATATATATTACCATCTATGTATCAGGGAATATAATTGGTTGTTTTATATACATCATTCTATTTAAATCTGACATGAGGTATATATTAATAAGCATGATATTAACCTGTTCCAAGAGCTAGGATTTAGAGGAAGACTGAACATTTTCTCAGATTCTTTTGAAATGTATTAGGACAATCACAAAGGCATCATCTCCTTTAGCATAACCTAAAAACCATGGGTCATTGCTGAGCACAGAGCACAATTACGTTCCTCATCTGTTGTATGACTATACAATAAAGTATACCTCTTTTAAGAACCAGGCGGTTAAAGATCCGAATATTAGCATATCATTGGCTTCTCGGTCATGGTAAGGGATGCCGACACTGCAGGCTTCCCAGAGGTCACCCTTCCACCTGTCCAGGTTCCAGGCTGAATAGCCTATGTCAAAGAGTACCACGTAAGGACTCCCTTCTATCAGCCACCTTCCAAAGTGCACCTGCCGCGTAGAGAACACAGAGCTTTGCAGTAATACCAGGCAACGCAAGGGGGAAAACGGTATATGTGCTTAGAGCATATAAACTTTATTTAGAATTCAACAGCGAACTATGCAAGCTATATAGGAAACTGTAGTGGTAACACAAAACATCTGATATTTGAGCCTGAACTTGGAATGAGCCTGCATCTAGTCACCTAAACCTCCAAGTTCTTATCCTTCAGTAAATTCGGTCATTCAAAAATGAAGTATCTAGATTATGTAACCTCTGTCCTTTTTCAAAAGATTTTTATTTATTTATTTGAGAGACAGAGCGTGAGAGAGTGAGAGAGGCAGCACAAGGGGGTGGGGGGGGGTAAAGGGCACAGGAGAAGCAGGCTCCTAGCTGAGCAGGAAGCCCGACACAGAACTTGATCCCAGGACCCCGGGATCATGACCTGAGCTGAAGGCGAACCTTCAGTCTACTGAGCCACCCAGGTGCCCCAATCTTTGTCCTTCTTTTTCTTATTCCTCTCCTGTGATCTAGAACTCATGATTTTAGGATTTAATATCATGCATGTTTTTATGATAGGGCTGTAAGATGAACTGCTCTTTATCTTTGATTTGTATTGGATGTAATGTCTAAAGTGTCACTTATTTTACTTTATGTAACAGGACTATGTTTCATGCTAGAAAAATTCATTTCTATAAACAAATGTATATGATTTCTCTCATTTCTCCTACCAGGAAAAAAAAAAAGTGACACAAAGTATTTCCCAACATGGGTGCTGCCAGGTGTCTTAACTAAATATATTGCCCAAGTTACTTTATCTCTTTAATCTAACAGCTCAAAGTCTAATTCTGTTACATTCTTCAAATTGAATTCTTTTATTCCTGTTTTTTCTTGTACAAGTTCTAATGTATTAGCTATATCATTTTTCCCAATTGTAATTACATAATCACTTGTATATCCAAGTTTTAACTTTCCTTTTGGCTTCTATTTTTCTATAGTAATTTATTCATCCTTTTGTCTTGACTTTTATTTAGGTTGATTCTCCAATTACATGGTATGCAACTCTGTAAGTCACTTCAAACCCTTCTTGGAAGTTGCCAAAAGATAAGAGCTTCTCATTGGTATCTGCTACTCTCCTATAAACTGAATGTGTCCACATTGTTTAGATATTGACCCGGTGACTCTACCCAAGGCTGAATTTGGGGAATTTGGAAGCCCATTTTTGGTCATTATTCTCTTCCACAAGACTCAGAAATATATGGTGATATCTCTCCCATCTAGCCTTGGACAACTCTGAAAGACCCCATTATCTGTCGGTTGCTTCCATTGTAATTAATAAGCATCATGTACTCTTCCCTTTCCAGACTGAGTTTTCCTTTTCAGTTGTTTTCTCTTTAGGACATTCATTGATTTACGTATTCATTCAATGAATAGTTACTAACTGACTAATGTATGACATATGATACAGTGAGCTGAAATCATAGAGAAGTATTGACACTGGAGAATGTAAGCCAGCTTCTTTTGACTTCCAGTGAGTTCTTGGCTATGACACGAAAATATCCTTACATCAGAAATCCGTTTAGAACTTTGAGACCATTCAGACCATTATGCTTTTCATCTCTGTCTTCTTTCATGAGAGCTTCAAATACAAGCCCCCTCCAAAGTCTCACTCTTTCATCCCAGTAGTACAACATGCATCCCTCTCTTACTTTCTTAGGTTCTCTATGCTACACTCACTATGATAGGTTTCCCTGGTGCCTTCTGGGACCTCAAGTTCCCTTCAGTTAAATCTTCTGCATCTCAGGCTTTGCATAGACCTTGTAGACACTACTACTCACATGGACATCTCACTGAAGGCTTCTCGTGTTTTCACCCCCAGAAACTATATTCCTGGGGTGAGTATAAAGAAAGTTTGGATTTTTTAAAAAAGATTTTTATTTATTTATTTGACACAGAGAGAGACAGCAAGAGAAGGAATACAAGCACGGGGAGTGGGAGAAGGAGAAACAGGCCTCCCACAGAGCAAGGAGCCTGATGTGGGGCTCGATCCCAGGACCCTGAGATCATGACCTGAGCCAAAGGAAGACACTCAATGACTGAGCCACCCAGACACCCCGAAAGTTTAGAACTTTTAAAATCACACCTAAACTTATTTGTGTATAAAGACATCTTTGAAATTTATGTTATCCAAATACACTACTTTTCCTTGTCCCATTAATCATCTGGCTACTTTTCCACCGTTCTCTGGGCAACTTCAAAATCCAATTTTTTATCCTACACAGTTACCCTCATAGTTTTCTGACTTTATTGACTTCAAAGAACTTCATGTCCATGATATTCCAGCTACACAGCTCATGGCTACACTGTTAACCTTGTCAAAACCGAGACTATTCCTTCTCGGAAATATTCAGCCTGAGCATTCTGTTACTTGACTACAACATCTATACCTCCACTTCTCTCACTCTGTTTCTCCCAGCTTATATATTCCTTTTTCTGTCATCAAGACCTCTAGTTTTTGGAACCCTCCATTTTTTCCTACATCATTGCCTCCTTTCCTATCCATTTCAAATGCAACTGTTCATCAATTCAACCATTAATTCAGTCAGTCATATAATCATACTTAATGATCCTTTTACTTCCTAGAAAAATCTTCTTGCCACAACTTCTGTACCCTTTCCTCACCATTCACTCATTCCCCAATCCACTAAAATCTGATTTAACTTTCTTCCCCCTCAAGGCTGTATTTAGCAAGATTACCATGAATGACCTGAATATTGCTAACCCTAACTGAGATTGGTTAAACCTTTCATTGACTTAATCCCTCCTTCATACTTGAAACTCTCTCCTCCCTTGTTTTGACCTATTGCTATTGTGACAGCAACAGATTAAGACACAAACCTAGTGGTTTAAAACAACACAAATTTATGATCTTTTGGGTTTAGGAGTCTGTAATCTGAAATAGGTCTTTGGGGTTAAAATCAACATGTTGGCAGAGTTGCAGTCCATCTGTAGGCTCTAGGGGAATCTGTTTCCTGGTCTTTTCCAGCTTCTAGAGGTTACAGGCATTTCTTGGCTTGTGACCTCTTCGTCTCTCTTCAAAGCTCAGCAGGCCAACCTCTACTTCCATTGGCACCTCTTCTTTCTGATTCTAACTCTACTGCCTCTCTTTTATAAAGACCCCTGTGATTACATCGAGCCCACCTAGATAACCGAGGAGAATCTCCCCACCTCATGATACAAATCTACAAAATCCTTTTGTTATATAAGCTAACATATTCACAGGTTCTGAGGATTAGGATTTGCACACCACCCTTGATTCTATATCACTAGCTGTGTTTGTACTTGTGCAATCTCTGAGTTCTTTTTTTCATTTCTTTCTTTCTTTTTTTTTTTTTTAACGTAGATGTTCTAACATGTTGACATTCCCAAAGGTTTGGCTCAAAATATTTGCTCTTTGTCTGTAATCTTCCACTGAATACTGTTATCAATGCCAATAATGTCAACTACAATTTAAACACAAATGACTTTCCCCAAAACACGTATATCCTCTACCTTCTGCTGAGCTCCAAACCCATTATTCTATTAGACATTTCCTGATAATTTTTATAATGTGCCTCAAATGTAACCTATTTCCAGTCAAATTCATCCTCTTTCTCACAAACCTGCTCCTTTTCCCTAGGTAGGTAGTTTTCTCTTGTGAGTTCATGTGAATGGTGGTCTGTTCTCCTATAACAGTCTACTAGTCCTGCAGAGTGAAGTTTCAGTCAGTGTCCCTTACCTGGCAGCCATGTTTATTCATTGTGTCCACTGCTTTTCTAACAGCATCATTTATAGGTTCACACTGTTCTACCTGAGTCTTCATATTATGCTCGAAATATGGTCCAATCAGAAAATAATTGTCTCCCCATTCATCTGCTGTGGTTTTGGCCTTCGTCTGAATCACAGTATAGATGCCACCAACTGTGAAAAAGAAAAGATTCCATTTATCATTCAGGTTAGTATTTCATTGTAAGTGATGAAGGCATGGAAACGAGTTCTCATTTTTAATTAGCATTTAGGATTTATCAAGTATAAGGGTTTCCTTAACTTTCTAGAAGAAATTTTTTAAAGGACACTAACAGTTACTATTTGGTTCAGTTCATGCATTTCATAGAACAGCAGGTTGGCAGCAGCTGAGAAACACAAATATTTTCAGGAAATCTGAAGAGATGATCAGAAGAAAGCAGAACTTGACCTAAAGCTCTATTTGCACTGAAGTTTCAAAGTGGGTTCCAACAGCCATTGTCAGGACATACACCCTCAGCATCTGTAATTACCTTTTACTCCTCCTCCTACACTGCTCCAGAGGGGGCTAGTGTATGTCCAAGTAACAGCCACTACTGATATTATGAATAAAACTTTCAAGCTAAAGAGCCATTTACCTTGGAAGGTATCCAACAAGGTACCTTTTGACAAGAGAAAAGAAATGATAGATTTTGAGGAGGGAATGCTTGGCCCAACCCTCATGTCAAGCCCAATGATTCACATTCACATTTTCTTTAGATTTTATTTATTTATTTGAGAGGAAGAGATATCGAGAGAGAAAGCAGGGAAGAGAGGGAGAAGCAGGCTCCTGGCTGAGCAGGGAGCCCAATGTGGGACTTGATCCCAAGACCCTGGAATCATGACCTGAGCCAAAGGCAGATGTTTAACGACTGAGCAACTGAGGCACCCTCATATACATATTTTCATGTGGTGTCTCATTTCCCTTTTGGCATTGCTGCCATGACTATTAAAACACAGAGTCAAAAATTATGTGCACCCTCTACTGGGTATTTACCCCAAAGATACAGATGTAGTGAAAAAAAGGGCCATTTGTACCCCACTGTTTATAGCAGCAATGGCCACGATCGCCAAACTGTGGAAAGAACCAAGATGCCCTTCAACGGACGAATGGATAAGGAAGATGTGGTCCATATACATTATGGAGTATTATGCCTCCATCAGAAAGGATGAATACCCAACTTTCGTAGCAACATGGACGGGACTGGAAGAGATTATGCTGAGTGAAATAAGTCAAGCAGAGAGAGTCAATTATCATATGGTTTCACTTATTTGTGGAGCATAACAAATAGCATGGAGGACAAGGGGAGTTAGAAAGGAGAAGGGAGTTGAGGGAAATTGGATGGGGAGGTGAACCATGAGAGACTATGGACTCTGAAAAGTAATCTGAGAGTTTTGAAGGGGCGGTGGGGTGGGAGGTTGGGGGAACCAGGTGGTGGGTATTGGAGAGGGCACGGATTGCATGGAGCACTGGGAGTGGTGCAAAAACAATGAATACTGTTATGCTGAAAAAAAAAAATTATGTGCACCCTGGGATCCAGCATGTCTACATCTAGAATATTGTTTTTGGAAATAAGAAGAGTGTCAAAAGATGTGTGTATTGGGTTATTTATGGAAGCATTATAATGGTGAAAAATTGGGAACGACTAAATTGAACTCGTTAAATCAACCAGTCTAAGGATCAATTAGCTCATTTGTTCAGCAGAGATAAAATATTACTTAGCTTGGAGGCAAAAGGGAGGTTGTAGCAGCAGTGTCAAAGACTAAGGCTCAATGCAATGTAGTATTCGAGTAAGTACTTAAAAGGGTGAAGAAACAAGGCAAGCAGTTATGGAGAAGAACTTTTTAGGCAAAGACATGAGTTAGAGCCAAGGCCCGAAGTTGAGAGCACAGTGGACAAGGGGAGGATAATAGGCATTCAAAAGAGAAGGTTTGAGATGCAGCAACTAGGCAGGAGGAATAGGGAGGACCCAGCAGAAGACCTTCGGTAAACTCAGGCAGGGTATCTTGTGCTGGCTCTAAGCGATCAACTAGTATGAGAATATGAAGCAGTCTGAATCAATTTCTTGAGTAGTACTCTGTCCATGAGCTATAGGTGAGGAAACAACTCAAGAAAGCTGTGTGAGGGCGCCTGGGTGGCTCACTGGGTTAAGCCTCTGCCTTCAGCTTGGGTCGTGATCTCAGGGTCCTGTTATCGAGCCCTGCATCAGGCTCTCTGCTCAGCAGGGAGCCTGCTTCCTTCTGTCTCCATCTCTGCCTGCCTCTCTGCCTACTTGTGATCTCTGTGTGTCAAATAAATAAATAAAATCTTAAAAAAAAAAAAAAGCTCTGTGAAATCCCAGAGCCAACACAAATCCTGGCACCAATCTTCAGCTCTACTTCCTAAAGTGATTTTATTACTTGTATATTTTTTTAAAAAGGTTTCTATTTTTACTCCAGTTTTTGTAAGTTATTTCAATTCATCAGGATATAGGGTTCGATAGCAATTGTATCTCTTAAACTGTTTCTGTAATTTAGACTTTAAATGATAAATCTTTTTTTAATTAACATATAATGTATTATTTGCCCCAGAGGTACATAAATGATAAATCTTATCAATAGTCACAATCTATGGCCAAAAGGTAGAATTTGCCATCTGCAAATTTTTCTTTAAGCCTGAACCACTCAAAATATACTTTTTGGTGAACTGCCTTTTAAGACGAGACACAAAACGCAAATGTTGGTAGTTATATAAATACCAATAGGATTCATTAACTCATAAAAGGGTGGTGCTAATAGAATTCCCAACTTGTAATTATTTCATGCAAACAGTTTTCACATGAGCCTACATAAACTTCTTGTCTTTAAGAACTCCATGTCTAAGAAAAGACTTCATGCTACAGAAAATGTAAAGAAATTTAAAACTGTCACTTGAACAAAGAACAATAAGAACTTTCAATCACAACTCAGATGGCAGATGATGAAAATAGCATGGGACACATGAAGATGATCTGTAAACCCTGCATGTAGAGGCTTCCAGAAAAGACCAGAACAGAAATGATTCAATTACCCAATCAGCAATAAATCTGAGGCTACATAAATTGAAGCCAGAATCAAGTATGCCTAAATAGTTCTCCAAATTCCAGAAAATGTCATGAACTGTCAAAACCATTTGTTAAGAAAACAAATTTAGAGAAAAAATTTGCAAAAACAACTAAGAATTTTTTTCTTTAAAGTATTTGAGCCACATCTTAGCAATGTATTTATATATATACAAGCTTTATTCACACTCATGATCCATAAAAACACAAAATTTTCAAATAATTTCTTCTGTAGACTTATTTCCTTCACATTCTTCTTGTTATTGGGTTCTGATGGCACGCATTTATTTTTGCTTTATTCACATTTCTATTTTTTAAACTCTCTTTTATTTGCAACTATGTATCTTGCCCAGAGATCTTAGGGCATCCTTGTTTGTTAGACTATGTGTTTCAAATTCAAATACACTAGGGCAAATGCAAACACATTTTTATTTGTTAAAGGACCGAAAGGAGAAGAGAAATTATTTACTCAAAAAAAAAAATGATTAGGTGTGGGAATTGAGATGCAAAATTAAACACTGTTAGTTAATTTGCTGTTTCTTTTTCCCATTTGAGGCCTTCAACCTTGATAGAAATAGTCACCAAGTAACCTTAGAGGGTCCATAAATACTATGGCTATGCTCTTTCAGTGTAGCAGGATAAAAACATAAAATTAAAAAAAAAAAGTCAATCCTATATTGGTTGAGACCTAATGGTAAATGAATCATTCCCCCCTAGACTACTTCATGTATAGTCTTTCCATGGGGAGGTCATCTTACCACTATTTCATATGCTCAAGGTCCATTGTAACTTTTCCTGTCCCCATATTTGTATTTCCCTCAGCCTTTACTTTGTCTAGATACCACATTTACCCAAAACTCCTCTCCTGGCATGCTATTTATAGGTGAGTGTGATGGCAAAGAAATAGAGTCATTCCTATTTTCAAATTTGGACTATATTCCAGAGGTTCCCCAACACATATTTTTTAATGATTTATTGTTTTACCGGTGTAGGTCATTGAATTACATTGAATTGACTTACTCTTCACTTTCAAACATGTACTTTGTATTTTATTGATCTATATTTTCCTGAAACAACATGGGAGCTATCTTTTGTGTGAGGGCAAAGTATCAGGCCTTTCATAAGAAAGAAAAGATGAGGTCCTATGGCATATGCCATGGAGATAGCTAAAACCCCAAGTTTTCATATAGAAACACTGCTGATATTGCTAAAATTGGGACTCCAGAGTAGTATGGAATGTGGACACTAGCCAAAGGGTGTATATATGTGTGTGTGCATTATTATATTATTATACTCTCTCTATATTATTATTATTATAATATTATTATATATTATTATACTCTCTATATATTATATATAATAAGGATATACATTTGACCCTTGAACAAGGGATGGTTGGGGTGCCAATCTCCCATGCAATCAAAAATCGAAATATAACTTTTGAGTCCACAAAAACAACTAATAGCTTGTTGACCTGAAACCTTACTGATAACCTAAACAATTAACCTATATTTGTATGCTATATGTATTTTACACTCTCCTCTTACAATAAAATAAGCTAGGAAAAGAAAATATTGTTCAAAAACATCCTAGTGTAGAGAAAATACATTTACAGTACTGTATTTATTGAAAAAGTGTGCATGTAAGTGGACCCATGCACTCAAAATTGTGTTGTTCAAGGATCAACTGTATTTTATATATAAACTGGGACAATCTTCATTACTTTTAAAAATGTTTGAAAGTTACAGAATTGGGGGGCACCTGGGTGGCTCAGTGGGTTAAATCCTCTGCCTTTGGCTCAGGTCATGATCCCAGGGTCCTGGGATTGAGCCCTGCATCAGGCTCTCTGCTCAGCGGGGAGCCTGCTTCCCTTCCTCTCTCTCTGCCTGCTTGTGATTTCTGTCTGTCAAATAAATAAATAAAATCTTAAAAAAAATAAAAAATTAAAAAAATTAAAGTTACAGAATTGGGAAGTTATATGACTTCAGTATACAGAGCTATTAATCTGGCCTTCCCTTCTCAAGACAGCTGCAGAACAAGAGTAGTCATTCTACACTTAGACATCCTTCTCTGAGGCATCAAACCTGATAGGAAAGACGACCATGGTCAACAAATGTTGATGGTCTGGACACCCAGTGTCCAGAGCTTTGCTGGGTCTGTGGCTTCAAAATAAAGCATCAGCAGTCTTGGGCAGTGGGAGATGACAGCTTGTAGCAAGCCAATAGCTAACTCCACCCTGACTGTACCACAATGGTAAATGCAAATGTTCTCGACAGGAGGGGCTCAGACAGGGTCATCTGGGTGAAAAGGAAGTGAGGACACAGGGCTCCTCTTGAAGCTGTGGATGCGCAGAGCATAGTGTTTGCGTGGATTGTGTTTCTTGTGGTGAGGCTCTGGATGCCACTGACACGGCCACTGCGAATCCACGCCAGGCAAAGGGACATCACCCCTACTTACTGTAATCTTGATCTATAACTCCCCCCCCTTTCTGGTTTTGTATTTGAAAACAGAATCATGGAATTGCTCAAAGTGAAAGGCAGTATGAAAATGAATGACCCAACTTCCTCCTTTGATGAATACATTTTATGAAGAAATAATAATAAGTTAACACCGCCAGAGCATTTACTAAATGCGAGGCCCTGTTCTAAGAGATTTACAGTTGGTATTTGTTTTAGTTTTCACAACACCATTATAGATACGTGCTATTATTACCTTTATTTTAAATGGGCAAACTGAGGCAGAGAGTGGCTTTGAGACCAATCCAACATCACACAGGTAATGATGGAGTTGGGATTCCAGTCCAGGAAGTCTGACTCGAGAGTCCACAGGCTGTAGACAGCCAAACTGTAAAGAACTGTCTGGAGCAATATAGTGATGGATTTTTAAAAGCGGTGGGTGGGCGGGACAGAGGAAGAAAATGAGCCAGTGTCGCAGAAAAACCAGTTATCTTAGGTCTTGGGGAAGGTGGAATCCTTTCTATTCTGCCCTAGAGAAAAGCCATTTGGGGAACAATACTTATGGGAAATGGGTTTTCATTTTGGCTCTTGGTGCTTCCGGTTAACGAAAAGGAACCCAGGGCTTAGGTAGCTATCAAGCAGGTTCTCACATCCATCATGGAGGGTTTTGGAAATCTAATGAAGGCATTCAGTCCTTCTCCCCAAAAGAGGACTTACACATGCCATTTTCAGATACAATTTTAAAGGTTTACAAACTCCTTGAAGCCCACTTTTCTCAAAGTCCCACCTTCAGAACTTCTGCCTCAGAAGAGCAGATTCACAATTATAATCAGTTTCTACCACACCATTCTGACTGCAGTCTTCATGTTTTTCCATATGCTGTTCACACCATGTGACCCAGACCCATGGTGTCTGGTTTGAGGAGGGAGAAAGTAGAAGTATTGTATGTATTATATTACTTGCTGGCTTTGGGTGAAAATGAACTGTTTTTATTTTTATTTTTATTTTTATTTTTGAGAGAGAGAGAGCACACGAGAGCATACATGGTAAGGGGAGGGGCAAAGGGAGAAGGAGAGAGAGAACCCCAAGCTGATTCCAGGCCCAGTGCTCAGCCTGACTCAGGGCTAGATCTCACCACCCTGAGATCATGACCTAAGCTGAAATCAAGAGTTGGATGCTTAACTGACTGAGCCACCCAGGCACCCCTATTGTTAGTAAATTTTTAAAAAGAGCATTTATTCAGCAACTACATTTCAGAGTTGTTCACATGTATTAAATTAGAAATCATTATTTGTGTCAATATTCATTAAGGTCTTTTTAATAATCTCAGATATCCTCAACATAATAATTGGTCCTTAGTCTACTATGATTTAGGCAGGTCTATGGAGAAGAAATCATTGCAATGAGGCACAAACAAAGGAAAAAGTGAACTTTCTTCTCTGACATATGTGTAAAACTCTTCATTGTAGGCCAAGCAACAGTCTCTAACTTGTCTCTTTCTTTCCTGCTATTCTCTCATGCAACTAGTAATAGTGTTTATCAAAAACACATCAGACCACTTAGCACTTCCCACTACTTAGAACTTCCCATCATTAACCATAAACTTCACAAACTACCCCCTGCTGGTCCTTCCCATCCGCAGCCACCCCTCCACTCCTTTCCTCTTTCTGAGCTTCCCTCAGATCTTTGAAGAATACACTCTATCACCTCTGCATATTAACATATAGCCCTGTTCCCTCATCCTTACCCAGTGGATTTTCCTCCTCCAGGTGTCAGCTCAACTGTCTCTTCCCTACAGAGGTGTTTTTCCCTAACACCGATTTAGGTAGAAACCTCCCCTCCCCAGCCCCCAATGTGTAGTCTTTTTCTTTTTTTAATTCGATTAATCAACATACAGTGTATTACTAGTTTCAGAGGTAGAATTTAGTGATTCATCAGTTCCATACAACACCCAGTGCTCATGCCATCACATGCCCTCCTCAATGCCCATCACCCAGTTACCCCATCCCTGCACTCTCCTCCCCTCCAGCAGCCCTCAGTTTGTTTCCTATGGTTAAGAGTCTCTTGTGGGTTCTCAATATATATCTTAGAGCCCCTCTTTCTCTTATTCTTATTGTCATCACATATGACTATAATTGCATGTTCAATGTCTACCTGCAAGTTTGTAAATTCTGGAAGACTGGGAATCAATTCCGTGTTGTAAAGCTCTATCTTCTTCATTTCCCAGTGCCTGACACCTAATAAACACCTGATGAATTTTTATTGAATAATAAATAAATAGCAATAATAAATGGATAAAGGAATAAAAGCAATAAATGTCAAGGGTAATATGAACAAGTAGAAAGTGTTATTCTGACGTCTGAGAATTAATATCCAGTAATTTAACTGTGACTCTCATTTTTATATTATACACATGTCTATTTTATACTGACAGAATTCTAGCAGAATGGGATTTTTTTTCCCTGTCAGAAATCTTTTGTTTTCTTGGATATGAATAGATTTCCTTGTTTGCCACAAAACATCATAAGATGGCTGGATCATAGTACATTTATTTCATTCATGAAGAAACTTGATATTCAGACAGATTAAAGAATGTTTTTTCAAAGTCTTAGAAATTTATGGCCTTTGATCGCAAGTCCTATGTTCTTTCATCTATAGGGCATTTCCTTAGGCAATGATATTAATTTTTAATTCTTGTGGGTAGTAAAAAAGAGAAGTGACCTTGAAGAAGACCTAAATGCTAGTCCCAACCATTCCATTTGCTTGATCATTTAATGCCTTAGTCATCCATTCCAGTTTTGAAATAGAGGAGTTGGATTCTAAGATGCCTCCTATCACTGCCATGAACTGCAGGGAAGTAAAAGTTCAAAGTAAATTAAAAAAAAAAAAAGCTATGTATAGTGTCAATGTATTGTCAGGGATAAACACAATAATTGTTCATTTATATAAAACTTTCTAAAAGATATGACTGTAATAAGTATTAAAATAAAGACATGTTGGAGATGTTGTTAGCTGGGTAAAATTTTGTTGTTCCCTTCTCCACACACAAAAAATTTCCTTTCCCTTGTAGGGGAAATGAAAGAAAATAGGTTTCAAAGGCAGTGAGGGTTGAAAGCAAAATGTATTCATTCCTTCATTCCAAAGAAAAAAAATCCCTTGAGCATTTTCCGTGCACCAGTCACTGTTCTAGGCCCTGAGATCAGCCCACACAGGACCTGGATGTAAACTCCATGGGATAACAGTGCTCACCAGTGTATTCCTAGCACCGGCAAACAATGCTCCATTAATGTTTGCTAAATGGAGAGAAAAGGAAGAAAGAAGGAAGGAGAAGAACTCTGTTTAGGTGCTGGAACACACACAGAGATCCTCTGAACTGATTCTTGGTGCTAAAGAACCCCCCCAATTTTTCCACTGACAAGCTACATCCTTGAGTTCCTGCCTACTCTGTAGAGAAAAACCTTCTTTCAAGTCTTACTCTGGGATCTATGAATAACAAAGATGACTCTGTTCCCTGGAACTGTGGACATATTTAAACACCATAGGAAAAAGTACATTAGATACAGCTCTTCATAAAACACTTTTCCGTAATAAGGTTTCTGCTCTCTTTGTTTCCATCTCACTAAACTACAGAGTAGAAGACTGCTTTGTTCTCTCACATTCCTTCCTGCATTTGTACATAAGTAGGATTGATTTTCACTTTTGGGATTTCAAGATTTTGTGAATTTTATTAAAAAAGAGATTTTATGAATTTTATGACTATGTACATGTGAGAACTCTGAACACTTAGCATAAGGTAAAAATTAGAACAGATGCCAAATATAATTCCTCTAAGTTTGAAATACTCTCATTCTTCTTATAGGACCTTGACGTAATGCCTTCTGAGCAGCTGCTAAGTTAAAACTGTAATTCCAAGCTATTTGTGAATTATTAGCAATATTACTAAGTATGTCATATAACCTTTTACAGTATATGACATTAAAGTTTGTCATTGGTCCCGATCACATATGGTTCTCCTTAAAATAAAGTACATGGTTATGCTTCTTTGTTGAGAGAAATCATAAACTGAAAAATGAAATATTAGCTCTCTATTCCTGTTTTGTCATAACCTGTATTTCAAATTTCAGCTTAAATGCACATTCCCTGGCAACGAGTAGTATTTTCAACGTTCTCTCCCTCCAACACACAGCCACATCTAAGTTATAGCCACCTGTTGAAACAGACAAAGTTAAACCTAACCAAAATTGACATTCAGTAAGTTTACATTCCTCCTCCCTGTCAATTCATTCTCATTAAAGTCACCTGTGATATCTTAATCTACATTCTTCACCAATCTGGCAAATAGCCACCTTCCAGGGCAGTACAAACCTTTATTGGTTACTTCCCAAGCGACTTCAAAAAGTAGTAAATCTTCCACAGGAAGTTCTTCAACTTCCCACCGAGGAAGCCCACTCAGGGATGTCACAGATAGAGATCGGCCTCGGAGCATTCTTTTTCCAGTCCTCTGAAGCTTTTCTGAATCCTTTATTCAATATACTGGGATCCCAGGAGCAGTGTACTGAGAGCTGTGTAGGTTCAAGGTGAAAGATCTCAGACTTGGGGAACTTCTCATAGGTGTAAACCAGTCCAACAAAATCTAACGTGCCTCCCAGAGAACTCTCAGTTTAAGCAGGAATTCTCAGCTCCTCTTTACAGTCTTTCTGGGCAGGTCCAGGGAGGACAGTATCTCCAATCAGTACCAACCTAAGCAACTCAATCACGTAAAATCCTCGGGTTCGGGGCTTAAGCAAGCACCCCTTCGGATGGTGGAATCCTCATAGGCTGAGCATGACACAAATCCAGACCTTTAGCCCTTGTCCTTTTGACCAAACTCCTAGACTCATGCAGTCATCAGTATTTATTTCATCACTTCCAAAGTGATCCAAGATTAGCAATTCCCCTTTTTAAGTTTGCAGACCACTTTAGATTCCATGAAGAATTCACTGGGACCGTTTCTATGCTTTAAATCCCTTTAGATTTCCAAGTATGCTTTGGTTCCTGTTTCTAGAGCATTAAAAAAATTATTCCTAGTTACTATAGTCTACATTTATAATCTAAATTTTAATGGTAGGCATAGATCTTGGTTCCCGTCCTCTTAATTAATTTTCTTAAAAATTTCCCTATGAAAATGTATAAATTCCAGTGGGTGTTTTGGTATACAAAGAATTTAATCTTGACTGGTCAATGATAATTTAAAAAAAAAACCTGTTTTCAAAAGTTTAATCAGATCACCTGATGATTGTTTTACTCACTCCCACTCTATTACTCTGACTTTTTGAAATTCCTGGTCCTCAATTCTCATTCGGGGTTTTTACCTCAAGTACCAACATTCTCAGCAACACATCATCTCCTAATGATCCTCAAAGTAGACCTATGTAACTCTTTAGATCCTATAATTTCCAACAGGAAGACACCCTTTACCAATTCTTTTAAATAGTGAATGCCATTTTCAAAATTGCTCCTTTGAGTCAAGAAGAGGGAAATAAATGGAATCATCTGAGATCTGTTCACAGGATATATCCTCCTCTATCCATGTTATGTGGGTGAATCCTCTTCTTCTGTGTGTGTGTGTGTGTGTGTGTGTGTGTGTGTTTGTGTGTGTGTGTGAGAGAGAGAGAGAGAGAGAGAAAGACAGAGGAGATAGAGAGAAAGGGATATTTTCTGTAATAAGATTTGGAGAGGAATCAGAAAAAGAAAAATTATCTGCTTTCCATATTCCTGAATATTGTCCTCTAAAATTCCAGCAGAGGTCACTAGATACATTCAGAAAAGCACACATTTGCTTTGACAGTGTGTAATCTTTTTTTAAGTCTTTAGGATACTGAAGGCTTAATTAGCCTGCACCTGCATATTCAGAGTCAGTTAATGTATTTACGGAACACCTACTATGTGCTGTTACTCTGGAAATGGAAAGTATTTTAGTAAACAGTAAACAAGTGCTTGCCTTCATGTGGACAGGTAGACATTAATCATGTAAAGAAATAAAAAATATTTCAGGTGCTGTTCTTTCTGAAGAAGAAAAACTGTAAAGTGATAGTGCCATTCAGTGAAATGAGTGCCTTAGCTGGGAGTGTTGGGAAGATCATTCTGAGAAAATGATATTTGAATTGAGACACAAAGGGTGAATAAGAGGCAACCCTAAAAATCTGCAGGAAAAGGGAAACCTAGCACCTTGTTGGTGGGAATGCAAACCAGTGTAGCCACTATGGAAACAGTATGGAGGTTCTCCAAAAATTAAAAGTAATACTACAATGTGATCCAGCAATTCTGCTTCTGGGTATTTAATTATCTGAAGGAAATGAAAGCACTAACTCAAAAAGAGATCCACATTCCTGAGTCATTGGGACATTCTTTGCAACAGTCAAGACTAAAGATATGTTTGCAGGATTTGGATGTGCACCACATGAACATTTAACTTCTGGAAATGGAACTGTGTCAGCTAGACAAAGAGAAAATAGAAAGAACAAGAGAGAACAATTTAAATAGCTTTTGAGAGGAGAGAGGATGCCCCCATGGGGAGAAACTAGGAAACGACAGTTCCTACATTCGGTTTTCCATAGTCTGAGTATCTCACTGGCTGAACGTGTCTGAGGTTTTTATGTTGTTTTTCTGGGTTTTTGTTTTGTTTTAAGATTTTGTTTATTTGAGAGAAAGAGAACAAGCAGGAAGGAGGGGCAGAGGGATAGAGAGAGAGAGAGGCAGACTCCCTATTGAGCAGGGAGCACAATGCAGGACTTGATCCCAGGACCCAGGGATCATGACCTGTGCCAAAGGCAGTTGCTTAACAAACTGAGCCACCTAGACACCCTGTGCCTGAGGTTTGACATACATTTTCCCATTTGTATGACAGCTACAGACCCCAACTTAAGTAAAAATATCACCAATATACTCTATGCAAGGGGTGCCAGCGTGGCTCAGTGGGTTAAGCCTCTGCCTTCAGCTCAGGTCATGATCTCAGGGTCCTGGAATAGAGCCCCGCATCAGGCTCTCTGCTTATTTGGGAGCCTGATTCCCCCTCCCTCTCTCTCTGCCTGCCTCTTTGCCCACTTGTGATATCTCTCTGTCAAATAAATGAATAAAATCTTTTAAAAAAGTTTATACTCTATGCAAAAGATGGTAACAACTTGCACTAAGTACTAGCAGTGAATTTAGAGAGAAGTGAGTAATGGGATGTGTGTTAAAAATTGGCACTTCTTGGAATTAATGGGGTGTGGAAACGTAAGGGTAGTTTGGTACCTATCAAACAAGGCAGTTGGTCATGTAGTGCAATAAAATAAGAAATATGGGGGAAGAATGGATTTATTTGAGAGATTAGATAGTGACTTCCATTTTAGACATGGTGAGTTTGGGATACCAGCCAGATGCAGAAAGTTAGATATTTCTGCCTACTCAGAAGCTCAGATGAGAAGTCTGGGACTTGGCTAATAACTAAAGCCATGGAAGTAGTGAGGTCTCAGGAAGAGGGAGTACAGAGTGGGTAGGGTAAACTGACCTGGAAGGATAGGGTATATCGCTCCAGAAAGTTCGACTTTTATGGCAAAGGCAAGGATATAGTGCCATGAGTTTTATGTGGTATGGACAATACAACACAAAAGGTATATTATTTCTCAACAAGGGAGATTTCACATAAAACTTTAGATCTCTATTTTTTTCTTGAAAACAAAATCTAAACCCTATTTTCCTACCAGTATAGCAACAATCTGCTGGAACTGGGTAAATCTGTCCTTTTAACTGCCACTTTAGTCACCTTAGTTTCTTGGGGCTACATCACTCATTTACACTGTCACATCTCTAGAAATACAAGAATCTTGACTTTTAATTTTTTTTCTGTGTACATTTGCAGTTGGTGACCAGGAAGTGGCCAAAGAAGGAGGAAATAATTATCCTTAAATTAACATTGTATCCAAATGGACAATCCCTGTGGGAGGAGCAAGATGATAGAGGAGTAGGAGACCTCCTGGTCCCAGGAATTCAGCTAGATAGCTATCAAACCACTCTGAACACCTACAATCTCAATAGGAGATCGAAGAGAAGAATAGAAACAATTCTATGAGCCGAAAGGCAACCACTTTCTGGAAGGTAGGACATGCAGAGAAAAGAATCCAAGGTGATATTTGGAAGATAGACCATGGGGAGAGGGAGCCTCTGTCAGCCACTTAACGAGCAAGTGAGAGAGGAGCAGAGCAGAAAGTCAGAACTTTTGGAAGTCTGTTCCCCTGAGGGATGTCACTCTGGTGGCTAGGCAGGGGGTGGAATCCTCGCTGGGTCTGTGTGGTCTCAGGGCCCTCAGGGTCACAGAAAGACCAGGGGTCTCTGAGTGTGGCAGAGCTCCCAGGTATCAGAGCAGGGAAGCCAGCTACAGAGATGGAGCAGAGGAATGGCTCTCAACTTGGGGTTACCTTAAACCATGATACGAGGCACAGACAGGCCACTACTCTTAGAGGAGGGGTCCAACAAAGGATGGATCTGGGGAGACTCACCTTCCTCCCCCCAGGTGCAGCAGCATAGGAGCACTTGGCAAGAATCTGTTGGGTTTGGAGACTCCAAATGGGGCCGTGTGCCGGAGATAGAAATGCTTGGTCACAGGCTGGGTGAGCTTGGAGTACGACCAGAGACCAGGGAGATGGAAGGGATTGACTACTTTTCTCTGAGGGCTCACTGAAGAGTGGGGCCCTGAGTTCTCATCTCCTCTGGACTGGAGATTGGGAGGCTGCCATCTTCATTCCCATCCTCCAAAGCTGCATGGAAAGTGTTCAGGGAACAAAAGCTCCTGAGAGCAAACCTGAACAGATTACTTAGCCTGGCCTGTGGCAAGGGGGTGCAATTCCACCCCAAGCAAAGACATTTGAGAATCACTGCAACAGGTGCTTTCCCCAGAAGATCAGCAAGAATATCCAGCCAAGACCAAGTTTACCAGTCAATGAGAACTGCAGAACTCTAGAGCTAGGGGAAAGCAACACATAAAATTCATGGCCTTTCCCCCATGATCCTTTAGTCTTTCAAAGTTAAGTTTTTTTAAATTTTCATTATTTTTTTAAAATTTTTCTTCTTTCCTACTTTAACCTATTTTAACTATTTTATCTTATCAACCTTGTTAAAAATCTTTTTTAATTTTCATTGTTATAGTCATAACAAAACATATAACATAATATAGTCTATCCCTTCATTGTATTTAACCTTATTTTTTGTATACATGTAAGTTTTTCTTTAAAATTTTGGGATATAGTTTCTTCTAACAGACCAAAATATACCCTCGACCTAGCATATGGCTTTGTTCTAGACTCCAGCCTGATCACATTCTCTCCTTTTTTCTTTTTTCAACCAATTTATCTTATCAATTCCCTTTTTAAAACCTTTTACAAGTTTCATCTTTACTGTCATATTCCATCCCTTCTTTGTGTTTACCTTTATTTTTGTATATATCTAAGTTTTTCTTTCTTTAAAATTTTGGGAGGCAGTTTCTTCTAACAGACCAAAACACACCCCAAATCAAGTGTATGGCTCTCTTCTATTCACCAGTCTAATATATATAATT